TTTTTTCGAAAGGCTATTTCTAGTTCTCAGTTCTAAAACATCGGAAATCTTTTTATTGCTATGCTATGATGTTATGAGTGGTTGCCAGGGTGTTGCTAGGGTGTTTTGGGTGGTTGCTTGGATGTTGTTAGGTTACTGACCCAAGTCTAAAAAGTCCTACACCATCAAGTCTTTTATTTTTATTTTTGTCTGTATTGTTTAGGTCCATCTTTCGGTGTACAGTATCCACCTTATTCCTGACGAGCTTACTGTGTTTTGAATTATGGGCGGCACTTCCGGTTTGGGGAACTTCCATTCAAAAAGGCTAAAACGAATCATTTCAAATCATAAGGTTGCCCTACAAATAAAGCTGATCCGTCAGTTTTCCTTCATGATTTATTTTCAGACATCATGAGAATTATACTTGGTATTTTAACGTGACATGTTATAACAAGAATATCTACGGCGAGAGCTCTTTTCAGTCGCTGCTTTCTTCTCCTCATGATGATTTTTATTTTTCCCTTTGCAATCCGCTGTAAAAGTATGAAAAAGGACAACATATACGGCACATCTGTGGTCTGTTCTCCCGAATTTAATTTACGATATTCCCTTAATAATTCACTGGAATGCACGAAGAATCTCTCGTTATTCTCCTCAAATCCTCACGTCTCTTTCCAGGTTTGTTTTCACAGGTAAATGCAATTTATAATCTGTCAAAATGACGGAAATCACTTTGATAAAGTGTCACGTAATGCTGAAGTTAATGAACATTTTTGATTAGGCTTGTTATACAATATACAGATATATATTTACAGTGATATTTAACCAAAGACTTGCGGTTTTTGCGCTATTTTTGGTCTGTTGAAAGTACCTTGTTGATTCTTTTAAACTTTTAAATTTCATTTTATTGTTCGATGGTTGAAGCGTGAGTCGAATAATGTCACTTTTTTAACGTATTGCATTCATAGAGCGAGCCTTTCACTGATTGTTTACAGCTTAACGGAAGTTACACCCATAATTCACGCAAAGCGTCATGGGGCGTATAGGAATAATGTGGATAAGTCTGTGCTAATGAATCCCAACTTCTGCAGACTCTCTGCTTATTATTTAGCCTTTTATATAAATTTAAACTGCATTAAAACATTTGAAAAAATATATGGTCAAAATATATGACCTCATTCCACAGTCCCTTGAACCAATAACTTATTGGTATACGCATAGGCAGATAAATATATTTTCTGATGTGTTGCAAGCATGTTTTTAACTCTCTTGAAGTGTAATATTAGGAAAGCGGAGTCTTTTGAGGTGCGGCATCATGTGAAATAAAGATCCAGCGTTTTCATTTCCCTCCTCAAGTATAGAGTTTATCTCTGATGTTCAAGCTGCAACACATTAGGCTCTCTGTGGATGACTTCATAGTGAAACCAGAGGCTTTTACAACAGTCATTAACCATGTCATAACCAGGACCGACGCAACCATGAGGCTCGCTGCCGACTGATGGATCTGCTAAATGAGACGCCTAATCCTGAAATATGGGTGAAATGCTAAACTATTTATATTAAAACATCCTTTTTAAGTATTTAATGAAGCTTGAAATAACCTGGATGAACATTTGATTGTCCCACGCTCAGGAGAAAAGAGAGCTCGGGAGTTCTCGAATAGGTTTCATTGAAGCATCAACTCTGTCTCGGTTGTTTCTCTGAAAATGCTAAAGAGAAATGTAAATGAAATTGTTGAAACAATAGAGATGCATCGATACTAAATTTCTCCCCCGGTTCAGAATGATATCTACCGATAATTTGATTTTCTTAAAAAAAAAACTCTCCTAAGTCGCAACTAATGCTGTAAACTAGGGAAGCCTCTCATTTGGTACAATACTTGTTCGGATATACTAATTACACTAAAATTAAAATGAATTTGAAATGTTTGTATACAACTATAGTATTTTTCATGAACACTTGAATGAACGAGGATGAACCTCATTGGTTCTTGCTGAAGCTCAAACGTGATGCGTAACACGAGAATGAACCTCATTGGTTCTTGCTGAAGCTCAAACGTGATGCGTAACACGAGAATGAACCTCATTGGTTCTTGCTGAAGCTCAAACGTGATGCGTAACACGAGAATGAACCTCATTGGTTCTTGCTGAAGCTCAAACGTGATGTGTAACAAGAGAATGAACCTCATTGGTTCTTGCTGAAGCTCAAACGTAATGCGTAACACAAGAATGAACCTCATTGGTTCTTGCTGAAGCTCAAACGTAATGCGTAACACGAGAATGAACCTCATTGGTTCTTGCTGAAGCTCAAACGTGATGTGTAACAAGAGAATGAACCTCATTGGTTCTTGCTGAAGCTCAAACGTAATGCGTAACACGAGAATGAACCTCATTGGTTCTTGCTGAAGCTCAAACGTGATGCGTAACACGAGAATGAACCTCATTGGTTCTTGCTGAAGCTCAAACGTGATGCGTAACAAGAGAATGAACCTCATTGGTTCTTGCTGAAGCTCAAACGTAATGCGTAACACGAGAATGAACCTCATTGGTTCTTGCTGAAGCTCAAACGTGATGTGTAACAAGAGAATGAACCTCATTGGTTCTTGCTGAAGCTCAAACGTGATGTGTAACAAGAGAATGAACCTCATTGGTTCTTGCTGAAGCTCAAACGTGATGTGTAACAAGAGAATGAACCTCATTGGTTCTTGCTGAAGCTCAAACGTAATGCGTAACACGAGAATGAACCTCATTGGTTCTTGCTGAAGCTCAAACGTGCTGCGTAACACGAGAATGAACCTCATTGGTTCTTGCTGAAGCTCAAACGTAATGCGTAACACGAGAATGAACCTCATTGGTTCTTGCTGAAGCTCAAACGTGATGTGTAACAAGAGAATGAACCTCATTGGTTCTTGCTGAAGCTCAAACGTAATGCGTAACACGAGAATGAACCTCATTGGTTCTTGCTGAAGCTCAAACATGATGTGTAACACGAGAATGGACCTCATTGGTTCTTGCTGAAGCTCAAACGTAATGCGTAACACGAGAATGAACCTCATTGGTTCTTGCTGAAGCTCAAACGTGATGCGTAACACGAGAATGAACCTCATTGGTTCTTGCTGAAGCTCAAACGTGATGTGTAACAAGAGAATGAACCTCATTGGTTCTTGCTGAAGCTCAAACGTGCTGCGTAACACGAGAATGAACCTCATTGGTTCTTGCTGAAGCTCAAACGTGATGCGTAACACGAGAATGAACCTCATTGGTTCTTGCTGAAGCTCAAACGTGATGTGTAACATGAGAATGAACCTCATTGGTTCTTGCTGTAAGCTCAAACGTGATGCGTAACACGAGAATGAACCTCATTGGTTCTTGCTGAAGCTCAAACGTGATGCGTAACATGAGAATGAACCTCATTGGTTCTTGCTGTAAGCTCAAACGTGATGCGTAACACGAGAATGAACCTCATTGGTTCTTGCTGAAGCTCAAACGTGATGTGTAACAAGAGAATGAACCTCATTGGTTCTTGCTGAAGCTCAAACATGATGTGTAACAAGAGAATGAACCTCATTGGTTCTTGCTGAAGCTCAAACGTGATGTGTAACAAGAGAATGAACCTCATTGGTTCTTGCTGAAGCTCAAACATGATGTGTAACAAGAGAATGAACCTCATTGGTTCTTGCTGAAGCTCAAACATGATGTGTAACAAGAGAATGAACCTCATTGGTTCTTGCTGAAGCTCAAACATGATGTGTAACAAGAGAATGAACCTCATTGGTTCTTGCTGAAGCTCAAACGTGATGCGTAACACGAGAATGAACCTCATTGGTTCTTGCTGAAGCTCAAACGTGATGCGTAACACGAGAATGAACCTCATTGGTTCTTGCTGAAGCTCAAATTCATTCATATGGTTAGTTTTACGATCTCTTTATGAACTTTTTAAAGTGTCAAAGTGGTAGTTGCGTAGCTGTCTCTCAGATTTCATCAAAAAGATCTTCATTTGTGTTCTGAAGATGAACAAAAGATTACGTGTTTGGAATGACATGAGGGCGAGTAATTACAGACAGAATTCATTTTTAGTTGAAATATCCCTTTAAGCACTTCAAACTAGTATTTTAAAACAACTTTCCTCTTATACAGGCTTTCACCCGTCCATCACGTTTGTCGTTTTCTCTGCTGTTGTAAATGTGACTCAGTCAGCTCCACACATGCCCTTATATCCCTGTTGTCAAGGGGTGAAAGGTCATCATGTGTTCAGAACACATGTCATTCCTCTGCTTAAATTAGCTTGTGCACTTTCATTGCTCAGGAAACCTGTTGAAACAACTGTTGGAGGCCCAGAACAAAGACGCGAGGAGAGCGTCTGAAGTGCTTCATTTGCGAGCAGACAGCGACGCGAGCACAGCACCAGCACTGATCCTCTTCTCCGCAGATCTTCATCAGAAGCCATAAACACCTCTAAAGAATGTGTAAAAAGTGAATTGGCAGGAGTGTGAAGCTGTCATTATTCTCCTTTCCGGAAGCATCTGCTAAATATTTACAGCACGTTTTCGAAGGTAAGCGCTTCTGTTTGCATTGCATTCTGGGTCACCCAGAGGTCTCCTGCCGTCTCGCTCTTATCTCCATTCTCCTCTGTTCTCAGTCAGAGAGGAAGTTTTGACAGCCAGACTTTACAACCTCCCGCCTGTGCTTTGCACATGCTCTGACAGAAGTCCAGTGACTTCATCCCTCATTCACGAAAGCTTCCCCTCCTCCTCCCTCTCTCTCTCTCTCTCTCTCTCTCTCTCTCAGTCCGGCATCATGCCATGCGTTTTCCTCTTGCTGCGCTCTCTGTTCAGTAGCAGATTAGCAGGCTCTGTCGCGCAGCTCCTCCGCCGAAGCCTCACGGCGGCTGCTGGCCGACTCGGGACCGTCCTGCGACACATCTGGGACCGGATCAGTTCCCAGGAGTCCAAGGAGGCCATCCTGGGCTGCGTCTTGTGCATTCTCAACATGCACAAGAAGGTGGACAACTAGATTTTATTTTGTGCATTTCTTGGACTTGTTACTTTTTTTTCAATTTAGACGCCAAATTAAGATTTTTTATTCATACTAAACTCAACCATGTCGGAGAGCATTGGGAGGAAAATCCAGCCTTTCACCATCGGGACCAAACTCTCGGCGCCGGCCGTGCCGAAGTGCTCGGACTTGGTTCCAGATGGTTACCTGCCAAATCGCACGTTCTCTGAAAACTGCAAACTGAGGCACCTGAACGAACAGGTGTCTCTCTATCTGGGCCGTGATAAGCGCTGCGGGTCGACCCCGGTGAAACACACACGTGAAGACGAACACCTGAACAGAAACACAAGCTCCCCGAACGCTGCGTCCAGATCCATTCGCAAGATCACCATCTCCAGCCGGATGGAGGCGTCGAAGGACAGACTGACTCCAGGGATGGAGCTGAAGAAAACAAGAGCGAAATCTGAGAATATTAATAACAATAACAACAACACAACCTCCAACACGCTGCTGCCTAAAATAGTGGGTGTCAGCTGTGAGAATAAACCCAACTCGCATTTGAAGGTAAGAAACGCTTTCTTTGTATTCCTGTATTCGATTTATCTGTAAAAATGTGTCTTAAAGAGAAACTTACTGTAGCTTTCAGAAAAGCCATGCAATTAGAATGAGTGAAAATGAAACTACTAAAAAGTAAAATATCTAAAAGCATTCAAGTTTACTTATCAAATGATAATTAGCTAAATGATAATATACATTCGTGTAAGGCTGAAGCAAAACGTTTTTTTTTTTTATGTGATGAAGATATTAAACAAAAATGTTTAACTTTTACAAAATATATTTATGGCAATATAATATTACATGAAAAATCAAAGCCATTGATATCCAGAAAACAATGTAATTTTTTTTTTTTTTTTAAATACATTCTCATTTTATCATTATCAGCATACATTTTATTTATAAAGCACATAGTATTCATTTTAAATAAGTGCTTTATATATGTAATGAATGTATGAATTAATAATTATTAAATATTAAGACAAAAATGCTTAGAACTTTTACAAAAATCTATTTAGGGCAATATAATATTACATAAATATTATTATTATACAATTATATCGGGGAAAAAAGTATGTTGTGAAATACAGTACATTCTAATTTTATCATTATTAATGATTAAATTAGCATATATTTATTATTTATAAAGCACATAATATTCATTATAAATAAGTGCTTTATGTATATAATGAATGAATGAATGTTTATTTCAGGATGATTTAATATTAAAACAAAAATGCACCAACAAGAAATCTGTTTTTTATGGCAATATAATATTACATAATGTGTAAGCAAAAAAAAAATGATATTCGGAACAACAATGTTTTTATTTAGGTTGCTCATTTCATCATTATTAATGATGATGTTGATTTGTTTAATTTATGAAGCACGTGATATTCTTTATAATCAAGAGCTTTATAAATATAATAAATTAATGAATGAGCGTATGAGCAAAAAGCTTTTTTATATATATTTTAACAGGTTATTAATAGGGTTAATATTAAGACAAAGGAGGCACAATCAACAAATCTGTTATAATATAGTTTATTAAATTGATGTGTGATTAGAAAACCCTACAGTAAACATTTAAACAGGAACTAATCCGCTGAAATCTGGTGTCGAGGAAACGGGTTTTTGGAGCCTCTTCTTCATGTTGTCTTTGTTTAGCAAAAGCTTCCGTGATCAAAACATAAGGAGTTGTCATGGAAACGGTACACAAATATACGGCGGTGATGTCATCACTCTTTCAGCTTTAATATTAGTTGATGCAAGTCCACATGAACTGATAGGCACGTCGTCTTCTACGAACTGGAAAGCGCAGTGTGTGTGTGTGTGTGTGTGGTTCAGATGATGTGTTTATTATGTAACGCTGCTCAAGTTCAGATGATGTCAGAGCTTCGGCTCAAAGGCTCCTTTCTATTACCTTCCACTCTCAGGATTCAGCGTGTGTTCGCTCGGGCTTTGTTTAATGTCAGTGGGTCAGCAGGAGACACCGTTCACGTTTATACTATACAACATAAAGATATACTGTGGGGTCTAAATGTCTGATAACACTAGTAAAACATTATCCTTATTTTCTTCTCATGTTTATTTCATTCCAAATTGTATTATCAGTATCAGTTTGAGTGTAAAAGTTTGAAATGTTTAGACATTTTAAGGATTTCTAGTATTTGGTTTGTTCTTATATTAATACAATGCATTATAATACAATACATAATATAATATAATTAGTGCTATCAAAATATAATAATATAATATAATATATTTAGTGCTGTCAAATCGATTAATCGCATCCAACATAAAAGTTTGTGTGTATATATACTTACACACTTTTATATTAGATGCAATTAATCTAAATATAATATATAATAATATAACAATATAATACATTATTTAATAAATACAATAACCATAAAATAATAACATAATGTTTAATTTCTATAGCACCTTCACATAGGCTCAGGTTTGCTTTAAAATAAATAAATGGTATATTTTTATTGTATGTTTGTGTATTTTAAAACCTACAAATAATCGGTTTTGGTCATGAAAACCAAAACAATATTGTCTCTATCTCATATAATAGTTATGGATCACACCGGCTCATTGTTTGTGTGTTTGTTCAGGTGTTGCTGTGTAAAGATGGTGAGAAGCAGTGCAGTGCTGACCGAGAGAAATTCACCTCTTCTCCACAGGTAAACCTTATGATTTACCAGATTAATAACACTATTCTGAAAGCGACTGACATCATATCGGGGCCATTTGCATAAACGTGAGACTTAAGCTCTGGTATGACCAACATTTTATTTCAATTAGTTTTAGTTTACAATAATAACCCTTTTCGCTGCTATTTCTGTTTCCATGTAACAGCAACTTCTCTCATTTGTGAATTATGCTTATTGCATTTAGGAATTTATAAATTAAACATCTTTTTTTTTCCCGCAAAACGTGTGGCTCATATAGAAGCAAATATCTTCACTGAACAACATCAGAGCTAAAATTTATTGTTAAAAATCTATTTCTCTAAGGAGAAAATGAATAATTTGCGGTATATGGTTACACTTTGTTTTAAGGTGTCATTGTTACAGTGTAATTATATAAAAAGTACTGAGTTATAATAATTAACTACATGTACTTACTACAGGGTTAGGGTAGGATTGGGTTTTGGTTGAGGGTTAGTTGCATGTAGTTATGCATAATTTACGGTTAATACTATGTAACATATATGTAACAAGGACACTGTATAATAGTGTTACCCACTTTATTTTACAGTGTCCTTGTTACACATGTTATATGTAGTTTCTTACTCTAAATTACGCATATTTAAATCTAAACCAAACCCCAATCCCTAACCCTATAGTACGTACATGTAGGTAACTAATATAACTCACTACGGTAACACTTTATTTTACAGTGTCCCTGTTACATAATATGTTACATGTACTTACCATAGTAATAACAGTAAATTATGCATAATTACAGCAACTAACCCTCAACCAAACCCCCCTAACCCTATAGTAAGTACATGTTGTTAATTATTATTACTCAGTACTTAAATGTATAATTACATTGTAACAATAACACCTTAAAATAAAGTGTAACCCTCACTACTTACACTGTAACAAGGACACCTTAAAGTAAAGTGTAACCCTCACTACTTACACTGTAACAAGGACACCTTAAAGTAAAGTGTAACCCTCACTACTTACACTGTTACAAGGACACCTTAAAATAAAGTGTAACCCTCACTACTTACACTGTAACAAGGACACCTTAAAGTAAAGTGTAACCCTCACTACTTACACTGTAACAAGGACACCTTAAAATAAAGTGTAACCCTCACTACTTACACTGTAACAATGACACCTTAAAGTAAAGTGTAACCCTCACTACTTACACTGTAACAAGGACACCTTAAAGTAAAGTGTAAACCTCACTACTTACACTGTAACAAGGACACCTTAAAGTAAAGTGTAACCCTCACTACTTACACTGTAACAATGACACCTTCAAATAAAGTGTAACCCTCACTACTTACACTGTAACAAGGACACCTTAAAGTAAAGTGTAACCCTCACTACTTACACTGTAACAGGGACACCTTAAAGTAAAGTGTAACCCTCACTACTTACACTGTAACCCTCACTACTTACACTGTAACAATGACACCTTAAGGTAAAGTGTAACCCTCACTACTTACACTGTAACAAGGACACCTTAAGGTAAAGTGTAACCCTCACTACTTACACTGTAACAAGGACACCTTAAGGTAAAGTGTAACCCTCACTACTTACACTGTAACAAGGACACCTTAAGGTAAAGTGTAACCCTCACTACTTACACTGTAACAAGGACACCTTAAAGTAAAGTGTAACCCTCACTACTTACACTGTAACCCTCACTACTTACACTGTAACAATGACACCTTAAAGTAAAGTGTAACCCTCACTACTTACACTGTAACAAGGACACCTTAAGGTAAAGTGTAACCCTCACTACTTACACTGTAACAAGGACACCTTAAGGTAAAGTGTAACCCTCACTACTTACACTGTAACAAGGACACCTTAAAGTAAAGTGTAACCCTCACTACTTACACTGTAACAGGGACACCTTAAAGTAAAGTGTAACCCTCACTACTTACACTGTAACAAGGACACCTTAAGGTAAAGTGTAACCCTCACTACTTACACTGTAACAAGGACACCTTAAGGTAAAGTGTAACCCTCACTACTTACACTGTAACAAGGACACCTTAAGGTAAAGTGTAACCCTCACTACTTACACTGTAACAGGGACACCTTAAAGTAAAGTGTAACCCTCACTACTTACACTGTAACCCTCACTACTTACACTGTAACAATGACACCTTAAAGTAAAGTGTAACCCTCACTACTTACACTGTAACAAGGACACCTTAAGGTAAAGTGTAACCCTCACTACTTACACTGTAACAAGGACACCATAAGGTAAAGTGTAACCCTCACTACTTACACTGTAACAAGGACACCTTAAAGTAAAGTGTAACCCTCACTACTTACACTGTAACAGGGACACCTTAAAGTAAAGTGTAACCCTCACTACTTACACTGTAACCCTCACTACTTACACTGTAACAAGGACACCTTAAGATAAAGTGTAACCCTCACTACTTACACTGTAACAAGGACACCTTAAGATAAAGTGTAACCCTCACTACTTACACTGTAACCCTCACTACTTACACTGTAACAAGGACACCTTAAGGTAAAGTGTAACCCTCACTACTTACACTGTAACAAGGACACCTTAAGATAAAGTGTAACCCTCACTACTTACACTGTAACAAGGACACCTTAAAGTAAAGTGTAACCCTCACTACTTACACTGTAACAGGGACACCTTAAAGTAAAGTGTAACCCTCACTACTTACACTGTAACCCTCACTACTTACACTGTAACAATGACACCTTAAAGTAAAGTGTAACCCTCACTACTTACACTGTAACAAGGACACCTTAAGGTAAAGTGTAACCCTCACTACTTACACTGTAACAAGGACACCTTAAAGTAAAGTGTAACCCTCACTACTTACACTGTAACAAGGACACCTTAAAGTAAAGTGTAACCCTCACTACTTACACTGTAACAATGACACCTTAAACTAAAGTGTAACCCTCACTACTTACACTGTAACAGGGACACCTGAAAATAAAGTGTAACCCTCACTACTTACACTGTAACAAGGACACCTTAAACTAAAGTGTAACCCTCACTACTTACACTGTAACCCTCACTACTTACACTGTAACAGGGACACCTTAAAGTAAAGTGTAACCCTCACTACTTACACTGTAACCCTCACTACTTACACTGTAACAAGGACACCTTAAAGTAAAGTGTAACCCTCACTACTTACACTGTAACAAGGACACCTTAAAGTAAAGTGTAACCCTCACTACTTACACTGTAACAATGACACCTTAAAGTAAAGTGTAACCCTCACTACTTACACTGTAACAAGGACACCTTAAAGTAAAGTGTAACCCTCACTACTTACACTGTAACAATGACACCTTAAAGTAAAGTGTAACCCTCACTACTTACACTGTAACAAGGACACCTTAAAGTAAAGTGTAACCCTCACTACTTACACTGTAACAATGACACCTTAAAGTAAAGTGTAACCCTCACTACTTACACTGTAACAAGGACACCTTAAAGTAAAGTGTAACCCTCACTACTTACACTGTAACCCTCACTACTTACACTGTAACAAGGACACCTTAAGGTAAAGTGTAACCCTCACTACTTACACTGTAACAAGGACACCTTAAGGTAAAGTGTAACCCTCACTACTTACACTGTAACAAGGACACCTTAAAGTAAAGTGTAACCCTCACTACTTACACTGTAACAAGGACACCTTAAAGTAAAGTGTAACCTAATTTGTGCAGACTTCTAAATAGTAAGCCAATGGGATTGTAACTATATCATGTCTCTGTTGCTGTATCGGTTTGCAGATTTCTTGTATTTCTTGTTCCTCTTGCGTTTCAAAACCGTCTCAAGCGCACGACTGACCCCAATCCTCTCTGTGCAGCAGAATTAGATTTTGTCGCTGAAGTCCCTCTTGAGTGGTTTGTGTTCAGCCGTAGCCAGATGTATATAAGATAATGGGCTCTTGGAATTTAGGAAGTGATGTCAGTGGCGCAGCAGGCCAAGCCTAAACGACTTATTATTTTAAGTGTTCAGTTGGGTTTTGCAGAGGAAAAAGCAGCGGTGAAACTTTTACAGGCGTTTTGGGTTAATGTGAGTCGAGGCCCTTAAACGCGAGTGGGCTTTGATGAGGCGTGGATGTGGTCTCGGACACCTGTCCTGTGCACAGCGCTGTTGTTTCAGAGGCACGATGGCTGCGGAATAAATGTTTACTTGCAGCATTATGGGAAATCAGCACACAAAACAAACTGGTGGCCTGTGGGCCGAGGCTTGAGTCATCCTGCGATCGGGAATCTTTCCTCACTGCGACATGTGGAAAACATGAGGTCATACAGGATGAGATGAGACTGGACACGCCGAGCGATGGACACAGCTTACATTTACACTGCAAAAATCAGTTTTGTCTTGTTTTCCAGTAAAAATATCAGAACGTCCATAAAATAACTTGAGAAGCAACATTGCTTAAAATATTCTGACTTGTAGTGTATTGAAGTGTATTTTTTTTTAACTTTGGCATGTTTTTTTTTTTTAATTTTATATGTGGAGTGTATATTTTCTTTATGCATATTCTTTTATTTGCTTAAAACAAACAAATTGTGCTTATTGGATTTACGACCATTTAAAAAAAAACGTAAAAAAATTGCTTAAAACAAGAATAAACAATATATAATATAATATAATATAAAATCATACACATAATAAACATAATATAATAGATGCTTTCAATATATATATATTTGCATAAAACAAAGTTTGCTTATTCAATTTATGACCATTTTTTTTACTTAAAACAAGAAAAAAAAATATACATTCATACTTATATATATATATATATATATGTGTGTGTGTGTGTGTGTATATATATATATATATATATATAGTAATTTATACATTTAATATAAATAAAATACAATATAGAATACTTTTATAGTTTTAAAAATATATACATATTTATTTTTGATAATATATAACTTTTTTACTACTAATTTATTTATTTAAGAATTGTTGAGCGGTTCCATTGACATCTGAAGTAAATGTATCTTGCAGAAAATATATTTAATAATGAAAAACAAGACAAAGATACTGATGAAGATGAATTTTTTGCCGTATAATGTTTTTGGAAACAAACACATGCTCTCAACTTTTATTTCTGATGGCGATGATAGGATAAAGTAACGGGCCGCCCTTTCCCAACATCGGCACAGATGTTTCCTGACTTTATTCACTTTGTGAAATTGTTCGGGCACTTTAAATGTGTCCTCGCCACCATTATCATCCCCGGTTGTGCTGACGCTGTCTTCTGGTTATATAAGACTGTTTGCAATGCCTTTCTATATTGTAAACGGTGTCATTATCTGTTCACAGCAAACGTTTACAGCTCCAGTCAGTCAAGAGACTATCATTAGACTTCATTTGATTGGATGGGCAATAGCAAATTACCAATAGCATCACTATTACTGTTGCACATGTGTTAGTGATAATAACCAATGTGTTTTCTCATTCTTTTCTGTGTGCTCTTGAAACATGAGCTGCTCTTCCTCACTCGTAGTCATCAATGACATAATCACTGTGGGAATTTACTTTGTGGTTGTGTGATCTGAAATGACCTTGTTACTTGTTTTTCAGCCCTTTCATTCTGTAAGCGTCTAACTCTCAATATAAACTCACAATGACGTCACACAAACATCTCAGGCCGGCCAGCACAGAATGTTCAGATGGTGTAGCTCGTATATATTACCACTTTTTCCCATGAATAAGTAACATTTTCTTATTTTTTTCCCACACAGACCCATATACTCAAAACCCAAACAAGAAGGGACGCGGTGGACAGTCCATCCTGTGAGCTTTTGGTTTCAAACGTCTCATCGGTGCAGAATGACCACGGTTTCACCCAACAAAACACGCTTTTTAACAAGGAGATCACTCAGGTATGGTCGCTGGACTCTGACTATCATCTGCACGTATTTGAAAGTCAAGACAGATTACAGTAGGAATAATTCTCATAAAAGTTAAACAATTCACTAGTGGCGTTTTCTGTGTTATTCATTTGCATTTTATGTACTTGGCAGATGATTTTTATTGCATTCAAGGCATGAATTTTTGTAAATAATTAATACATTTTATGCATTCCTGGGAATCAAAGCCCTGTTTCAGAGCTGCTAACACAGTTTAAGCTGTAAGAATGCTTTTTACGGGGAAAAGGTCACATTTCACACCAAACGTCAAACATATTGTAAGAAAATTAAGACTATTAAGTTGTCATTATAAATCATTGCAACTATTTATTTGAACAATAAAAAAAATACGGCAATAATTATTTTATTCAAATCAGCCAAAATTTGTTTTTAATTAAGCAGTGCAAATTATGCAAGCATAATATAGATATAAAATACAATTTAAATAACATCTGTACTTTTTGTGGCATTATAAAATGATAATGTCACAATGCAAAAAAAATTGGATGGATGGATGAGTAGATAGATGGATAGATAGACAGACGAGACAGACAGACAGACAGACAGACAGACAGATAGATAGATAGATAGATAGATAGATAGATAGATAGATAGATAGATAGATAGATAGATAGATAGATAGATAGATAGATAGATAGATAGATAGATAGATAGATAGACAGACATATCGATAGACAGACAGACAGACAGACAGACAGACAGTTAGATAGATAGATAGATAGATAGATAGATAGATAGATAGATAGATAGATAGATAGATAGATAGATAGATAGATAGATAGATAGACATATCGATAGACAGACAGATAGACAGACAGATAGATAGATAGATAGATAGATAGATAGATAGATAGATAGATAGATAGATAGATAGATAGATAGATAGACAGACAGACATATCGATAGACAGTCAGACAGATAGACAGACAGACAGACAGATAGACAGACAGACAGATAGACGGACAGACAGACGAGACAGACAGACAGACAGACAGACAGACAGATAGATAGATAGATAGATAGATAGATAGATAGATAGATAGATAGATAGATAGATAGATAGATAGATAGATAGATAGATAGATAGATAGACAGACATATCGATAGACAGACAGACAGACAGACAGACAGACAGACAGACAGTTAGATAGATAGATAGATAGATAGACATATCGATAGACAGACAGATAGATAGATAGATAGATAGATAGATAGATAGATAGATAGATAGATAGATAGATAGACAGACATATCGATAGACAGTCAGACAGATAGACAGACAGACAGACAGATAGACAGACAGACAGATAGATAGACAGACAGACAGACAGGTAGGTGGATGGATGGATGGATGGATGGATGATAGATAGATAGATAGATAGATAGATAGATAGATAGATAGATAGATAGATAGATAGATAGAAAGATAGATAGATAGACAGACAGACAGACAGACAGACAGACAGACAGACAGATAGACAGACAGGCAGACAGACAGACAGACAGGTAGGTGGATGGGTGGATGGATGGATGGATGTATAGATAGATAGATAGATAGATAGATAGATAGATAGATAGATAGATAGATAGATAGATGGATGGATGGATGGATGGATGTATGGATAGATAGATAGATAGATAGATAGATAGATAGATAGATAGATGGATGGATGGATGGATGGATCTCTTTGAAGAGGTTGACCTGTTTTTAGTCATATTTTAGTTTTTTCCCTCTAAACTGAAGTCAGAAGTAGTGAATTGTTTGAGTGGTTGCATCACTAAAGTGGAAAATTACACAAGTTAACAGACAAAAGAAGAACGCGTGCAGATAAAGGTGTAAAGCGAGCGTTCTGGCCCTCTGACCCTGTCCTAGCCCTTCTGTTTCTCTTCTGTGCTTCTCTTTCTGTGGACTTGCAGAGCGGCAGCACGGGGGAGTGGGAGGGAACAGCACAGCCACAAGAGGAGCAATTATTTTGGGATGAGATCATTGTTTGGCCTCGTCTGTTCACGCCTCTGGTCTTCTGAGGCTCGAGTGCTCTCGTTCTCCCATCGCCACACACTCGCTCTGACATACAGGGCATTTGTGCTTCAGGACACAGCTGCTGAACAGCCCATGTGACCCGTGAAACTCGCTGAGTTACAGCGCAGTGTTTCAGATGACAGACGAGCGTAACACGTCCTTAATGTTAATAGGTTAAAGAACCGCTGCCATTTGTTTAGGAAATGGCCTTTGGATGTATATTTATTCTTACGTTCGTGTTGGGCAAACCCTCCATCTCTTTATGGGATTCAGTTGACTGATTGACGGAGTGTAGCATTATAGCGTCGGGGATGTGGAAACGGGACTCTGTTTAAGAAATCCCAAATGAAGGTAAATTAAAGGGGTGAAAGTCAACACATCCTCCAGCGCTCTTTAAGATTGCCTCGTAAAACCCTTTATAATGTAGAGAGAGTAATATTGTATGGAAGCTTGTTTCCGCCACAGAATGAAAAATAAAAAAGGTAATTGCGACTTTTTATCTCACAATTCTGACTTTATTTCTCAGAATTGCGAGATATAAAGTCAGAATTGCGAGATGTAAACTCGCAATTGTGAGAAAAAAAGAGTCAGAATTGTGAGATAAAAAGTCTCAATTCTGTCTTTTTTTCTCGCAATTGCGACTTTATTTCTCAGAATTGCAACTTTATATCTCGTAATTGCGACTATTTCTCACAATTCTGACTTCATATCTCGCAATTGTGAGATAAAAAGTCGCAATTATTTTTTACATTTTTTTTATTCAGTGGCAGAAACAAGCTTCCATAATATTGTGTATTCTGTAGGGATCCACTTAAAAAAGTGCGTTAATTCTAAACTTATACCAATTAAATGAAACTAGATTTATATTCAAATTAAGTATGGCATCTACTATGAAAGAAAGAAAAGTAATACTTTTATTCAGCAAGGATGCATTAAGTTAAGCAGAAATGACAATAAATACATGGATAATGTTACAAATAAATGCTGTTCTTTTGAAATGTTTCTATCCCTGAACAAAAATGTATCACTGTTTTGACAAAAAAAATTAAGAAGCACAGCTGTTTACAACATTGATAATATTCATAAATGTTTCTTGAGCAGCAAATCATCATATTATAAGGATCATGTGACACTGAAGACTGGAGTAATGATGCTGAAAATTCAGCTTTGATCACAGGAATAAATTACATTTTAAAATATATTCAAATATAAAACAGTCATTTTAAATGATAGTAATATTTCACATTATTGCTGATTTTACTGAATTTTTTAACAAATAAATGCAGCCTTGGTGAGCAGAAGACTTTTTTTCTTTTTCAAAAACGTTAAAAAATCGTATTATTTTGACCCGTTTCATCGTCCAGCAAATGAAAATCGTGCACCTGATCGCTTAGGAAGCGAACAGCTCAAAGTATGAGGAACATACATACATATCAAACATTTCCTAACTCAATAACCTCTAGATATCAATGTCACTCTTTTTGCTAATTCACTCAGAGAAGGAAGTTGAAACGCCTGTATGACGTCAGGCCCGCTGATGACATCTATAGCGGTATATATATCATTTCACCAAAACATGCGGTATGATTTACAGAATGTTACTTTTTGAAAAACAGACTATTGTTCTAAAGGGAAGCGGAAGAAACAAAGGCTTCGGCCTCCTGTATGAAGTCATCGAAACGAGGCGATAGAGCTGTTTACACAGGCCTCCAATATAGAAATACCTTTGAGCCTGTGGGAAGCCATTAAAAATAATGGCTGATCTTTTATTAGAAGTGACATCATATTATTTTTTATCTGCACTGTGAGATCTTGCCAAGCATTGTGGTGTGTTTTTTTTTCTTCGCTTTTGTCCACATGTGATGTGAATCTCCGTGTTTTTGATGTGAGAAAGATTTTGCTTTTGTACTCTTAAGACCACACATTTCTGAAAAATGTGAAAAACAAAATTGACGTGTCCTCAGCAATCAATCACATCTGTCGGTGCGGGACGAATTATGAGGCGAAGATTACTATTTAATATGTGCACTAGTAATAGTGATGGTTTCTTTAGCCATTATCCCCAAGCTGTCTCCTTATATTTAGCCTGATTGGTTGGTTTTATTGGCTTTGGAAATCACAACGCAAACCGCTGCGTTTAGTCTTGTAGAAATGACAAGTTCATTTAACAATCCTTTCGTTGGCGGTGATGTGGGTGGGCTTTTTGAGGACCGCCAGTGGTCATACATTGTGTTCATACCAAATAAACATGTCCAGGACCTATCTGGGCTCGGCCACCTGTTTTCTATTCGCGCAGTGCAAACATGGCCAGAAATGGTGCTTTCTAAAGCCTTATGCAGCGATCCGTGCGCTCCAGCCAAAAGAAACCTTTGCTGCTCGTAACGGGACATCTGAGAAACAGCGAGCGATCTCCCGATGATGTTTCTGAAGTGTTTCTGTAAGCCGAGACACAAGTAATCGCTGTTTTCTTCAGAAACAAGAACTTGTCTTTCCTCGGCGTGAAGTAATAGCGAGTGACTGTGACTTCACACATGTGCTTTAAAGAACCCTTTAAAATCTATTTGCTTAATATTGTGTTTCCACAGTGCTCTCAGAAAGCTAAGCGAGCGTAAAATGGGCCTTAAGTGTCCCAACATGTGTTCATGTTTCAAGCATTAACAGTAAAGTACAAAGAAAAAACAGAAAGGATGAAACTAAGATGTGATTCAGGCTTAATAATAGTTCAGAAATTGGTCATTTTGCGTGGAATTGCCATTTGTTTCGGCCAGGTTTCTCCAATAATAGTAGCGTTTAAAAGTTTGGGGTTGGTCCGATTTTTAAAATGTTTTTGAAAGAAGTCTCTTCTGCTCACCAAGGCTGCATTTATTTGATCAGAAAAACAGTAATATTGTGAAATATTTTCTATTTGATTATATTTTGTAAAGTATTCCTGTGATCAAAGCTGAATTTACAGCATCATTACTCCAGTCTTCAGTGTCACATGACCCTTCAAAAATCACTCTAATATGATGATTTGCTGCTCAAGAAACATTTATGAATATTATCAATGTTGAAAACAGTTGTGCTGCTTCATATTTTTTGTGGGAATAGTGATGCATTTTTGTTCAGGGATGGAAACATTTCAAAAGAACAGCATTTGCATTTATTTGAACGAAGTGAAATAGCCTGCCTCCGCTCGCTGACGTCTGATTGGTCCAGACAAAATTACGGAAGACTCTGGATTGTCAACAGTAGCAATAATGTGCGTGGCAGAAAGTTTTGGCACAAATCCTTTTTACCAAACTCACTCTACTCCCTTCTCCAAACTTACATCAGATTTAAAAGGCATTTATTTTCAGTAAAAATGAACAAAAAAAATTCGAAAAGTGGAAATAACGTGTATTTAATAATAAAGTGTTTTTCGGTTAGGGCTATGTGTAGGCGTCCATTTCAGGCAGCATCCATTTAATAATTTTAATAAATATAATCTTTTACACTCATTCATGAAACATTCGTAAATATACGAGTAAATATGAGAGTGGTTTGCGCGTAAAGAGACCTTCCCGGAAACTCATCTCCTGATTCACAAATACTTCGTAAACGTCAGATGTGATAGTGAAATGTGTGTGTGTGTTAATGAATTCCAATCAGTCGTAAATGGGACGCGCGTGCACGCTCATTCTCAATTACCATAAATCCCGCCCATTAAATCCGACTGACAACTATATATGGGCATCATATTATGACACCAAACGAAGGATTTCAACATGTCTTCTCAAAAGCGAATGAAAAAGAAAAATTTCTCAGATGCAGAAATCAAAGTTTATTATCAGAAGTTCATTCAAAACACCACATCTTATTTTCAAGCGTACATAGTGGCGTATCAGGTCCATTACAGATGCAGTTAATGGAGTTTCATCTGGAAATCAAACAGTCCCAGAAGTAAAAAAAAAAAACCGTATGTAATTACTATATGTAATATTTTTTCAAAATGCTGTGTAAATATGTACCCGATTAAGGTGAATTAAAATGCAGCCTTAGTTATTAATGAGCAAAACGTTCGGGTGTTAAGCGCACTATTTACGCGTGGCTGGGAGCAGGTGTAGATTTCTTTCGTACCAACTAACATTTGGAAAGTACGAACATTTTAATGAATCCGAAGATTTACGCCAGAACCACTTTACACACGATTCACACAAAAATTCGTTTTGCTCGTGTTTCATGAATGAGACCCTATGTTATTATTGCATATACCGTTTAATGCACAACAACACTGAGGTGCCAATAGTATCTGCCACTATTTATAAGTATAAATAGCATCTAGCTACTATTCACACTTATTGCAAAGTAAATACTGCCATTTTTTAGTTAGTGTAAATAGAATTTAGCGCTAAGAAAATATGCAATTTTTGCTTGGTGTAAATGGAATCTAGTTGTTATTGTTATTCCTTATTTGAAATAGAACACTTTTTGTAACATTCTAAATGTCTTAACGGACACTTTTGTGTTCCAAATTAGTCACTCATGAGGTTCCATTTCAAACTTTAAAGGAAGCGTTGTGTGTTTGTGTCCTGCAGGCTGAGGCGTGGATCAGAGCGAAGCTACGAGACCTGCGGGACGGCGGTAACGTACAGAAATGTCCTCTGACCGACTGGGAGGAAGTTTGCCAAACACTCCAGAGAGATTTGAAGGACTTTGAGAACACAGTCATACAACTCAACCAGGTGAGGACAAACTGTCTTCATTAGGACAGTAAGATTGATGAATCATCGTCAGGTTTCAACAGGTTCCTCAGCCAAAATCAACAAAAAGAAGTTCTCCCTTTTGCAAATAAACGGCAAAACATTTACAAATTGTTATGGAAACAATCTTTTAATGCTGACCCGTCAAAGCAATTTTTAACAGCTCAATTGTTACGAGACCTGTAGAACCTCAAAAAGTTCTTTGTGAGACATCCAAAATGACAAAAAAAAAATAATACAAATTTCCCCCGAGCACAGCTAAATTTGTCCTCTTTTCCTACATTTTGAAATTGTACATTGCAAAGAATTAACCTCTCCTGACACACATCCCTGGAGGGGTTGAAAACTGGAACTCCTGTTAGTCTAAGAGAAGGGGAACGAGGACTTGGGTGGATTTCAAGTCCTCTGATATGATTAAGCTGTTGTTTTAGCGGACTGTAAATCATCAGAATGTTCTTTTGTGTAATGCTGCTCAATGTTTGTGCAGATGGGAGAGCAATTAATGTGCAAGCTTAACCCGACGTCTGACCTGGTGAAGAAACAGCTGGGTCAGATCCGCGACCAATGGAACGCGCTCAAACAGACGGCAGCCAATCAAATCAAGGCGATGGGCGGAGCTAAGACTCTCCAGGAGTTTAACAAGAAGGTGGACCGTCTGGAGGCATGGATCAAAGAGAAGGTTAAATACACTACTAAACCTAGTTATACTAATTCACAAAGCCTTTTGAATGGGATTGGTTTTGGATTTTGTCTGAATCATTAATCTTAGTGGTTTATATAGAGAACATGGAGGTGATTCTGTGTTAGGATAAACATATCACAGTTACGTTTCAATTCACAACCAAAAGAGACAAATATGAATTTATATTTTGCATTAAAAAAATTCTTTGCCCATTTCGATTTTTAATTTTGCTTTGTGATATTATTTTCATACACATTTTCTACAAAATTCTTATTTATTGCACATACTTTGATGCATATGGATTCTTTACTTTTGAGCTTTTTTAATTCCTTGTATTTTTTAAAATGATACACATTAATATAGTAAAAGCACGCTGTAATAAAATTAGCCTTATTTTAAGTAAGTTTAAAGGCAGTTCAACAAATACTAACATGATGTACAAATATTTAAAAATGTATTTTTCAAATTACAGTAAATTTGTTTGTTTGTAATGAGAATTTTCTTTTGGTAAAATATAATTTTTGAAATATGTTCTTGTTCTTGACAGGTTTTGTGAGATTTACCTGCTAACTGTTAAAGAGTAAATGTGTAAAATAAATAAGATTTGGATTTATTTATTATTTATTTTAATATTATTCAATATTATCCTAAGTTTCAGTGCTGATCTTGTAAAGTAACGATAAAAACAAACTTAAAAAACAAAGTACTTAAGTTACAGTAACCTTATAGAGAGTTACTATCAATGTGAAAAAAACATTTTACTTTAGTGAGCTAGAATTACAATGAATTTTAGTATTTATCATGCTATATATTTATTTATGAAATGTATGGTTTGCAACACAACATAGAGCCATATACATTTTAAAATACGTTGAAATATGTGTGCTTTTGCTCATATTTTTACTGTTTTTCTTCACTCATTAATCGTCTGCCTGCTTTGCATCTGCGTTCAAGAAGCCGAGGTGTTACTTAACAAGTCTGTTTTACATCTCACCATGGTAGCCAGGCTCATTTAGAGCAACAGTAGCCGTATTCAAAGCAAACAATCACTGGGCTACAACAATTCAGGGCTGTAAAGCTTTTATATGTGTCAGCAGGAGCGGGAACAATCGCTGGCCAACATCCTTGGGGAAAACACTGACAAGATGCAGCTTACCAGGAAGATACTGGATTTGAAACAGGTGGGTGATTCCAGACAACAACCGCAGAAATTGCTGCTAAATTCTCAGCAGGCATCAATTATCGGTACTGGAAAACAATTGGCTTTTTTGAGATAACATGTATCTTAGTAAGTGCTTCCGTTTATGCACATAAAGGCCACTATTCCTTCCTTTATTTACTCACAGATTCACTAGCATCCTTCAAGCCAATTGAATCAGCCATTTGTGCTTCTAGGGTTGGGATTATTAGACCATTGGCAAACATGTGATTCAAGCACCTGGTTTTAAATGTGGCTGGGTTAAATCTAAGATTATTAGAGCTATTAGGAAATCTTGTGTGCTTAACTTTCTTTCAGGATGAGCAGCTCTATCATAATCTTCATGAGGAGATCAATCATATGGCCATCAGACTGGAAAAACAGGGAAAGACTGAAGGGAAGACCATCTCAACCCGCAGGAAACACATCAACAAAATGTTAGTGCACATAATTAATAATTATACATAAAAACATGATTACAGACCTTTAGAGTCATTTTTTTCACATCAACTTTTTAAAATTCATTATTGTAATATATGGTTATTATATAAAAATATATGGTTATATATATATATAAATTTAAAGGGCCCAAAACAAACTTTTTGCCACACCTGACTTATAGACAATTATTTTTTATTACCAGCCATGAAACAGATTAATCCTTATTAAAGTTACAAAAGTTATTCAGTCAAGAGCAATGAGTGATTGTTCTTTGTTTTTTGTTGTTTGATTAACATTAATGACAAGGACGGCAGTAAAAAAATATTAGGCTGCTGTCACTTTAAGAGCTAATGCACGGATCCAATATACTGTTACACGTGCGTTTTATTTCTCAAATGTTTACGTTCAGTTAAGACATAACTGACTTTGTTTACAAGGATATCAGGGCGTTTTTATTTTTTTGTTTGAATATGTCTATTCAAGCGCAAGAAGATGTGAAAGAGAGCTCGCACGCTCTCTGGGTTTCTGGGCGAGTAACGAATTGAGTTCCCTTTCACGTCTTCTTGAGCTTGAATATTTAAATTTGCAAGGCTTTAACTTTCGTGACGATGCAACACTGCCCTGTCAACTGTCCCGAGCGTTGTTCACTTTTGTCCACATTTATGTTCTCACAATTTTGCATTATTAGAATTCATACAAATTTTAGGTGATTGACATGTTTCATATACTCGCCAACACCAATTTTTACTCGTATTTGGCGCTTAGCGAATCTTAATTTTAGGCCTGTATATGTATGTTTGTATATATATATTTATATTATCATTTTTATTTGTCGACTATCTAGGTGGCTAAAGGCTCAGTCGCACTTGAAAGAATATCATGAGAATCTTCAGCTTGCCCTCGAAGTCTCATCCTTCTACCAGCAGGCAGATAATGTTGTCTCTTCCATCAATAACATGGTAATCATTTTCCTTCATATTTCCATCTATTTCAGTTCAAACCCCACAGGAAGGCCATTATTCTGACGTGTCCTTTGATGTGAATATACACCCCACTGCTGCACTGAATGTTGAGGTGCTGATGTAATCCAATAATGTTATTTATGGTTTTGCTCCTTTTTTATCTTTTCATCCAGAGAAAAAGCCTCTCTCCGAGCAATGGAGTGGAAAACGGCCGAGACGGGGAAATTCGGGACATTGCCAGTCAAATCATGGTGTGCGATCCAAAATTCATATCCCGTTATAGCTACAGGATAGCTATGTGCCGTCAGTTCACTGCCCAACTGTCTGTCAAACAGCATCTTGACGCCCGTGTTTGTTTTGCTGTGTCTTTCTGTGTGGTTCCAGATGCTGGATGTGACTGTTTCCCAGCTATCCAACCTTCACCCGGCGCTGGCGGCCCGGGTCACACAGAAGCAGAGCGAGTTAAAAGACTCCTGGGCCGTCCTCCAGAAGACTCTCAGGTAACTCAAACCACCATAGTTATAAACCGCACAAACCCTATGGTGTCCTCTCGGGGACACAAGCCATTTCCCTGCTTAATGGGCAAACTGTAGGCTTTCCACAGAGCCGAAGGCACTTTCCACAATCCTGTTTTTGTTGCATTTGTATTCCCCTCCACCAACCGTGTGGTGCACAGCCAGGGAAAACGTTTCCAAATGATAATTAGATGCATATAAAAATGCGTGCTTACTTTCATAATGTCAGCTATTACCAATCGGAATCCCCCCCTCCCGCTTAACGTAATGTTTCAAAATACTAAACACCAAAACAAGCCGTTTAATATAACATTTTGTTGGAAATTACTCTGTTTGTTTGTTTGTCTGTTTGATGCAGTTTTGCAACTGAATCCAAGTTTGAGCTTGTTTTGCGTTTTATTGCTCCATCATCTAAGGCGTCCATATTGATTTCATTGTCGTTTGAGGTCTAAAAGTCTGCGATTCCTGCTCCCGAGCCCAGTTAGTCATAATAAATAACGTGCTTACTGCGGAAACATTGCCATCTCCTCCTCATGCCTTCGGTTGAGGATGAAGTATGTTTATCCCTGTAATTAGAGGAATTTATTCCTTATATTAAATTCATAAGAGTTTATTTGGGCACTGCAGATGTTTAATCAAGATGAATTCATGGCAAAAGTTACTAAAGGTAAAATCATAGACAAACAGCTCGTTCTGTTCGGCGAATGTAGTAAAAGTTCACAGGAACATTTCTGAGGGAAATTAATAAAGACTTATTTATAAAAATATAAAAATATTTATATTATTTTATATTACACATTGATTAACCCTTAAATGCATGAATGTTTCACCAATCATTATTACATAATTGTATTTTATATATTAGACAAAACAATTATATATAAATATATTTATTTGTTTATAATTGTTTCTATTTATATATTTTTAGTAAATAATAATGCTGTTCCATACTATTTATTCCTTATGGCGTTTTGCAAAGCCATATATAATATAATATAATATAATATAATATAATATAATATAATATAATATAATATAATATAATATAATATAATATAATATAATTTGTGTGTATACGTATGTATACATGTGTGTGTTATCCTCCAAAAGTTTAGCATTTCATGCTTTAAATCCCTTGAATCTGGTTATTCCCATGTGTGTATTTATTTTAAGACGTGATGTAGAGTGTTTAGTCATCCGTCTTGGTGGCTTCGTTTTGAAAAACATTTTGGAAGTTACAAATACCAGATGTGTAATCAGCTATCACCAGTCACTCACAGTCACTATATTAAATCTGCATAGAGTGACAGTAAATGAGAATCCACCGTCGACATAATTCGAGTCAGGGATGAAACTTCTGTTTTCTTGGCTCGGGTCTCCAGTGCTGTTGGCAGGTCGGTTTGATGACTGGGTGTTTGTGTTTGTAGGAACGAAAAGGCAGCTCAACTACCCTCTTTAACCAGGGACAGCAGTGACCCTGAAACCTCCAGCCCAGAGACGCCCGGCAGCGTGGGAACAGACACACACAGAATTATGGGAAAGGAGGTTAAAGAGGAACAAAATCGCCTGAAGGGGTTTACGGTATGCAGTTATAATTGTACAATTATATTCACTTACTTTCTTATGTTGCCTATTTTTCTTTCTTTCCTTCCTTTTTTTTTTTTGGTGCTCTTGACGAGCGGAAATACATAAATGACAAAGGAATTTTCACAAGCGTTTTCACATAGTGTCTCCCAAAACATGAAGCATCGAGCTATAGACGTTACACGATCGCAGAGAGCGCTGCAGATTCATTGATTTCATTTGAACATTTGTGGAAGTGACTATATCACATTAACAATGGTGTTTATATCTATTTGTTCAGTCCACAGCTAATTAAAATGATTTCCAAATAGTTTCTCGTCATTTTACGTCGCTGACTGTGGCGAAACAAACAAACAAAACTGCGGGATGAATAAAAAAAACTTCTTAAAGTTGTAATAATGGATACTAAGCCCCTTTATTATATTTATTAAATATTCTGTGCAAGTTAAATGATAAATGATTAAATGATAAAATTGCACTTTTCACATGGAAGTTAAAGCGTTTGATGCTGTTTGTTTTGAGACCTGTTTTTAGCAGGGTTATTTTATTATTATTTATATACTATTATAGTATATATTCATATTTTGAATTGCTGTTTTTTATATTTTCAGTTTAAGTTTTAGTAATTTTGTTATGTGCTTTTATCATTTTTATTACTTTTAGATTTAAAAATATATACAGTATATATTTCTTTTTAGATTTAATTTATTTTTATTTCAGTTTTAGTAATTTTAGCACTTCAACTTGCACTTATTTTAGTTAAAGCTGCAGTCCGTAACTTTTTTGGGTTAAAAATTATCCAAAATAAAATTGAGTAAGTACATAACCAGCCAGTGTTCAAAACTCTCTGCTTGCCTTAACTCGATTCAAAACAGTAAGCTTGTAATAATGTTTTTAATTCCAGTGGTACTGGTGGATTTCCGCGGGAGATTCGAGCATGTCTTTGCGTCATTACGTCACATCTGTACACACACATCTGTACACACACATCTGTATACATAAAGAAGAGTCTCGGCTAGTAGGCTATGAGTGTGAGGATGCTGGAGGTGGAGATTTATAGCCTTTTCTCACAGCACTTGATATAATTAAACTTATCAATTTGATAGCGGATCCAGAAAGGTTCAAACGACAATCACCAGTAACAACTAGAGACTCACCCGCTGTAAAATGCAGAAGACTTCGGAGTGATTTTCGGAGTCGGCGCGATTTACTGCAATGCCTTTTTTTCCCTTAGTTGGTCAGAACAAAAGTGGATGTTACTTACTGAAATTTTTTATGTTGGTCATACTTCCAAAAAGCAGAATCTGTGATTGCGAATGCCAGTTTCCACACCGGCGCGGCGACTGACAGACACACACACTCTCCTCAAAACACTGGATTCATCCGCGCTGTGCCGTGCCGAGGCACAACCCACGTAAAGTTGATAATTACACGGATAACTGCAATTTGTGATTTTGAACAGAGATGGCGACAAAAAGGAAAAACTACGGACTACAGCTTTAAATGTAGGGCAACGTTTATCATATAATATTTATATTTTATGTTACTTCAGCTTTATTTCAGTGAAAACTTTTTTAACAACGCACTTTTTTTTAGTCCTGACGTGAGTCGTGTGAAAGAGCCTCGAGTGTTTTTACTGCTTGATGCTGAAAGGGCGATCAGCACTTTTCCATAATTACATAACAACCGCTAAACATGAGTGAGTATTAATTCCTCTATAGCATAGAGCGGATCCTGTGCAGCAGTCGCTTGAGTTTCGATTGTAAATGACCTCTGACACGTCGAGTCTGGCTCCACTTTCAGACACACAAATACACGTAAATGCAGTAGCTAAATGTGAGGCTCCTCTTTTCCTGCTTGTCGGTTTGGATGGTATGCAAATGAGTCAGTTTCTGTAATTTATTTTATGACATCCTCTCTATCTAACAAAGCCCCGTTGTCTGTGAGACACCACATTCAGGAAAAGCTTTTCAAGGTGTTATTGACACTGGCACGACGCATCTAGACGTTTCCATGAAGGATGACGCGCTTTGATTGTGCTGAGAGGGCAAAAACAGGCCGCCAGGACAAGCGGCATTCTCTCTCAAAACTCACAAATCTACAAGTTTTCATATCCGCTGAAATTACACCTTTTGGACGTAAATAGAAGAAAACACTCATTGCATTAATAAAATAGCAACTTTAAACCATTTGTTATATCACAGGCCATTAGCGCTGAAGAAGAGCTTCAGTGTGTGCAGTAGTATGATTATCTTGGATGCTTTTCCTTCTTTTCTTATTTTTGGGGTCAGTAAGATTTTTTTTTAAAAGAAATTAATACTTTTATTCAGCAAGGATGCATTAAATTGATGAAAAGTGACAGTAAAGACATTTATAATGTCACAAAAGATAAAATAAACACTGTTCTTTAGAACTTTCTATTCACAGAATCCTGAAAAAATAGAATATAAAAATATAATGTTTCTTGTGCAGTAAATCAGAATCATAATATCTGAAGGATCATGTGATGAAATACAAATACATTATATGTGATATATGTGTATACATAAACTCTTTTGAAGAATACCATATTACTACCATGGTAAATCTCAAAATAACTGTGCTATTTTAAATGCATTTAACAATTAAAACTAGTCGAAGCTTGGGAGAATTGGTGAAATATTTAAAAAATACTCTTGCAAAAACGTACTGTGGTTACATGTAGTACTTTAAAATGTCCAAAACACCCGTATTTGACATGCAGATCTTCTTTTTCCCACTATTTCATGTATGTACTTAAACTGATACTGCCAAAAATGAAGAGTAAAACATAATTTCCAGTAAAACATGACCTGTTTGGTCCAGTTGCACCATATTGTCTCTAGCTTTGACTAGTTTAAATTGTTAGATCCCAACATAAGCATTGCATCAGGTGGTTGTCTGGCTTTGGTTTCATTGGCACAATGCTGGTGACGTTCTGGACTGAAGCAGGTTTGAAACAATGGCCACTTGTGTCAGAGGTTACCTGGGTGTATCGTGTACGGGATCCGCGCTCATTACTCTTTATGGAGACTTTTACTGGAAGACACAAATCCCCAAAACTAGCGAGATGCCAGATGGCACCACCGGTCCGAATGCTTCTAACCGAAGCGCTCTCAAAAACACACAAATGCTTGAGTAATACACTGCAAGTGTCCCGTTGTGCATGCTTAACTTTCTCTGTAAGATTCTCTTCAAACTGTTGAATTGTCAGGACTGCAGTTTACTTGAAAATATCTGTAGAAAGAGACTGCTATAATCAAGCCTTAGAAACCAGCCTGATTTGTTTTGCTGCTTTAACCCTATAAAGCTGACTGGATCATATTTGATACGTGAATTTCTAAAGCCTCTGAATGATCAACATGATCAAATCTTTGCTGGAAAACCTGTCGCACACAATCTACTACATGCTGTCGTCTGATTGATTAGTTTAGACTCTTTTAGCAAGTAAAAGCTTTTTAGGATAATCGTACAAACGTTCACCTTCAGCTCGTTCTTTTTGCTGTGAAATCTGGATTTTTATAAAGTAAATGTAAGAATAACGTGGCCATATTTCAAGATGAACACTTACTGGACTGAAGCAACTTAGCTTTACTTGATTAAAATCCTGTTTAATTGTGAGTATCAATGATCATCGGGCTTTTGAGGAAGGTTTATTAGTCCATCGCTCAATCATCATTGTATCGCATTGCATTATATGTTTTAAAACTAAACTTTATCATCTTACTAAGACATATTATTGTCAGATATAGAGTGACGACTAATATTTATATGTGTTTTATGTAAGTATCTGCTATGATGTTATAAAATCTTACTGATTTACATTACAAGCATCAGAATTTCATCTGACTTTTTGTCCATATAAATATCAGCATCTGCACCAAATTGCATATTTTTGCTTAGTTTGGGCCTCTGAATAAAGCTGAGGTGTTTTCCCCCTACATATACTTACTATATCATACTGTATGAACCATAAAAGCCTGATGCATCAAATGTGATTCTCAACAAAAAACACATATGCAAACTTTTCTGAGCATTATTTCATATGTCAGGCTTTACAGGGTTAAGCAACATGACCAAAACTAACATTGCTGTTTTTTTTCTCAGTTCTAGCATGTCTAAATGAATATTTGTACAGCATCTATCCGCTGGTGAGCATGTATAACCAAGCTTGTTGTTTAGTGACGTGAGGTAAATACGATGAAGAGGCCTGTATTTCTCACTAATGTCTCCCAGATGCTACGAGAGCAATTGGCTGACATCACTCCTCAACTTTACACTGAAACGGAGGTCTTGAAAGATAGAGAGAGAGAGCTGATGAAATACGAGCACAAACACTAGCTCTAATTGGTATCAGCGCTGGGAACGGGCAGAGAAAGCCATTCAAGAGCTGTCTGTGACGTAATGCACAATTCCTTACGTTTCGTCATGGAGGAAAGGTGCTGGAGTTTATACAAAAGCCTGGATTGATCTGAAGTGAGGAGACGTCTGTAATGGTTATACAGTATGTAATTACACCACGCTTGTTACTCAAACGCTTCACGCTCGCCAATAGCATGATAACGTGCCGTTGTGCGATTAAACTCGAGGCTTCCACTCTTTGAGTGGCGTGTTTATAAATGCTATTAAGCCTTGTAAATTTGCTGCGCTCTCCAAATGGCACTTTCTCAGGCGACTGTTTCTTTCTTTCTCTCTGGCATCATGTGTTTCTCTCTCCCAAACTCTGACTCATTCATCCTGAGCTCATAATCAGAGAAAGCCCGGCTCGGATTCATACGCTGCCATGAAGCAAAAACGGGCCTATGGGGTGCCGTGCATTAAAACTCATTTAATCTAGGTGAAAGCACTGCTTTAAAAAACGTGTTCATAGCATCTTTTTTGTTTTTTAGAAAATATTTGTCTTCTGATTGCATTAGAAATTCGTACTGGATTGAATCCGGGGCTTTGGGTTTGCATTCCCAGTCAACTTACTTTCTTGCACAACACAAAATAAGACATCAATCTCCAAAAATGACCAAAAAAAGCACCATGAAAGTAGTTCACACAACTCGTGCTCTATCTTATACTGAGTCATATTAAGACATTGAAATCATTGAAACAGGTTGAAATTAAAAATCATTATACACCGAAAGTCTTGATCTCATTTGCATTCAAATAAGCCACTTAAAGGCACATCACACCAGGTTTTATATCAGTTAAGCCAAATGTCATTGGTTTTTGCATATATAACCTGCACATAGTGCCAAATTGGACATACAGTATGAATGAGTTTTGAAAGTTTATGCTACTTTTTGTCATCTGTTGCCGTTCATCTTCATTATAAAGAACAAGATCAAGATTCAGTCTCATTTTGTGTTTCATGAAAGAAAGAAATAGTAAAACTGGTTTGCAAAGAAATGACAGAATTGATATTTTTAGGTAAACTTTTGCTTTAAAGGTGCCATGTGGAATGTCTGCCAAAAAATAAATTCATACTCCACATATTCCATACCAGATGGGGGCAGTATACCTCCAGAAAGTTGGCCTACTCTAGTCTGTTTTTTAGTTTCGGGTTGTTAATCTTCTAAAACCGTCAAATCGTCCGCTTTGTCCCGCCAAAGCCTATTTTGATCGGTGAGTGATGTAGAATATAATGACTGCTGCGCTTGACAGGGCGCATAACGAGCAGAGAGAGAGAGAGCGCCCCGGCCGCGCGCGCGCACTCTCACGTCTTCAAACAACACGAGCGCAGTCCTCCTGCTCTCTCTCTCCCTCGCGCATATTAATCAAATCAATTGACACGATAGTAAGACCGCAGTTCATTTGGAGATTTTTAGAGATTAGAGACTCAATGAACAACATCTCAACACTAAATTATAAAGGCCGGTCTCATATAGACGCGATTGACATCAGGTTCAAGTACGCCCACAAGCCGTGCGAGTTATTCGTGTACTGCAGTTTGGCTGGTGGTTATATATGTTGCCCGCATACCGCCTCCCATGGCCGAAACTGGTATTACGCCACCAGTCGGGCCGGCGCTAGTAATTTAGCATGCTAATTTAGGTTTATATCTCGGCAGCACTATAACTTGTCAATTTTTTAATGACATCATTGCACTTATTTCTTCTCATTCTTTTGATGCGTGTAGCTCATTTTTTTGGATAATTTTACCTCAATTTTTACATAGGGCACCTTTAACAAAAGTTTGGGGTCGGTAAGACTCTTTAATGTTTTTGAAAGAAGTCTTATCTATCTATCTATCTATCTATCTATCTATCTATCTATCTATCTATCTATCTATCTATCTATCTATCTATCTATCTATCTATCTATCTATCTATCTATCTATCTATCTATCTATCTATCTATCTATCTATCTATCTATCTATCTATCTATCTATCTATCTATCTATCTATCTATCTATCTATCTATCTATCTATCTATCTATCTATCTATCTATCTATCTATCTATCTTCTTTTAAAACTACAAAACTAAAACTTAAAACAATTTAAAACTGAAATCCTAGAAACTTCAAGCTTTTAAAACTACTTAAACCCTTATGGCTAGACTTTCTCAAGCCAACTTAAAGTTTATCCACAAACTTTTTCATCCAGTTACACTTTAAAATACCTGTTTTCTATTTGAATATATTGCAAAATGTAATTTATTCCTGTGATGCAAAGCTGAATTTTCAGCATCGTGTGATGTTATGATTATTAGAGTATCGTGTTATTCATTGTTAATGTAATGGATCGGTGAGCTTCTGCTGAAGACATGATGGCGAGTGAGAGAATAATCATTTTCCCGTCTTGGCTTCCTCCTGTGATGCTGGAGCCTGTTTAACAGCTGCTTACTGTAACTTTCCAGAAAAAAAGTGTTCCCTTTCTTTCTGGGATTACATCCACACTGTCCGCACCTCCAACCGCACGCTGACATTCAGACTCGGGCTATCCCGCCAACCACGCAGTTCAGTGACGCCTCGAGATCACGGCGGACCACCGTGTGTTTCACACAATCACACAAGGATCCGCTGTAGCTGTGTGTGTATGAACATGCACCTTGTGTTTTCCTTCACAGGGAGTTTGGGTTCTTGCCACGGTCGCATTTGGCTTGCTTAGTTGGGTTTAAAAAGTTTTTTAAACTGCTTTATCCAATTAGTTTCATAGTTGACAAATAGCTGAATAATGACACTATTGTCTTCTGTAGATCTGAATTGAACTAGTTTCATAATTGATGCACTAGTTTGCACAGTTATTGAACTTATTGTCTTGCTTAACAGCAGCATTTGACATTTCTAAAGTTGTAAATTTCATATTTAAAGTTTGCATCATTGATTCTGTTATTTTCCTGTCTATTACTGTGAAGCTGCTTTAACACAGTCTGTATTGCCACCGGTGGGACGTTTGCCATTAACAATAATATCAAAAACCTAAAGTAATATTGTCAAACTATCACTTGAAAGCTTACAAACTCAAGTTTTCATGTTTTGTGACTAATTTTCTAAATTAATAGCAGTAATATATTCATTTGCATCAATATGTTCATACTAAAAAGGCGTGTTCTGACCTTTATTTTGAAATAGTGATGAACATGAAAAATCATGAAAGATTGGTAGTAACCTAAGTTTGTTTTTATGCCAAGAGTTCAAAAGTTAACATCCTTTATATTTTTTTTTAAACATTTCCTCAAAAAAATTAATGATCGATTCTCCATTTGTGATGCGGTGGCGAGCTATAATGCTTTCCTCATGTCTTTTACGTGTTTGTTAGAGGTTGAATTCAAATCATACACTGCCAAACTGCCCATACCACTTCTGAATAGGATGTTTACTTCATAAAGTGTATGACAATTATGGAAATATAAGGTTTGGATCACTCAAACCATACATGGAAACAGGAATGAGTCTGGATGTCACCTTGTGAAAAAGTTTGGTACTGCACCCAAACAAAATCTGACTGAAAGCTAATTTTTTGAGATATCAACCTCAAATTTGGAACACAACTTGTTTATATTTTTGATTTTCTTGCAATTTTAGAGTAAAACTTTTTGTAAAATATACATTTGATATACAATATTAAAAATATTTTTACATTTCACATTTACATATAACACTTTTGTTTTTCTATTTCACTACACAACAATACAATACTTCTACAATTTTAAAATCTAAAAATTTTTTTTAAACAAGCCCAACCGTAGGTCTATGTTCCAAAGCATTCTTGAATTACTACCATTTATGTTTGAATAGTGCATTTTCATGTCTATGCATAAAAAAAAACCCTGTGTGCCAGTTAAGGGCTTAAAGCACTATATAAATCAAGCTGACTTGACTTCACAGGGTGTGAGAGACGACGAGCGCTTCGGGAAGCCTTCAGACGGCGTGGAGATCCCAGCACGGGCCTGTGCCAGCGATATCATGCTCAAACTCCAGACAGCCACTGAAAGGTGACATTTAGCATTGGGTTTTTCTCTTTGGAACATTTTTGCACTCATGCAAATTAGAGAAGCGTGTTAAATAGAGGTCCTGTGTTTGACTTTACAGCGGGAACGCGTCGAGGCCCGAGTCCATCGGCCACCCACCGCTCCACACGCAACTCCAGAAGTTCACCGTTTCTGCAGACAAGGTGCCCATTTATTACTGGTCCATTACACAATCCTTACACAATCGTTTATGCTTCGAAAACACCAACTGTGTCCAATCGGACAGAACAGGGAAGCTCTTCCAGCCGACATCAGCAAAGCTCCTTTTACTGCGGTTTAACTGAGAGTTTGGATTCCACCTAAATAAACTCATGAAAGGTTGATGGATGGGTTTTTGCTAATTGGTTGAGGATTGTGTGTTTGTTTGACACCGGTGTCAGTCTCCGCGGGTGTATGTGACTTCCAGGAATTGTTCTGGCTCGAAGACCCAGTCAGCGGGTTCTGAACCCAGTCTGGCGCACATAGCCAGCGGTTCAGAGGTCAGCCAGGTCTAAATATGGATTTATTCTCTCTTTCTTTTGGAAATATGTCTTCCTATTTTTCCGTGGAATGTGACGCCTCGGTCCTGTTCCAAAGCTGAAGAGCTGAAACCAGTTAGACATAAGCATCGGTGTGCTCTTGGCTTCACGGTGGAGGAATCAAGCATGAAATTCATCCATATTAATGAATAATAAATAAATTATACCCTGTAAATTATTATAATTATAATATATAACCCTGTAAATTATAATAAATCAGACTGTTAAATAATATTAATGTTTTATATATTGTAAAAAAAAATATTATACTGATAAATGTAATAAAATCAATATAATTATCACATTTAATGTTTATTAATAATGATACAAATTACTATTATTAAAATACTTAATTTAATATTATTGTTTTTATTCATATTAATTAGAAATCAGACTTTTTAAAGTACATTTTCTATATACATATAACATTTATTTTAAAGTAACAATATTATAAGATTTCTATTATACTGATAAACAAATAAATTAGAAATGCACTTAGAAATAAGACTTAAATAAATTATTTAATTCATAAATATAAATTATATTTGAATTATATTTATATAAATTAAATTCATATTAATGTGTATATATATATATATATATATATATATATATATAATTAAAAGTAACAATATTATCACATTTTTATTTTACTGATAAATATGATAAAAATAAATATTATTAGCAATTGTAATAAGTCATTAATCGTAATGAAAATAAATGAGAAAAATCAATTACAAATTGATAATTAATTTTAAAGTTAATTAAATTATTTAATTATTATAAAAATTAAAATTATACTTAGTTTAATTATTATTATTATTAATTAGAATACATTTAGTTTAGAAGAAATTAGAATTAATTATTAGAATATATAAAGTACATTTAAAAATAGTTGTTCTAGTGGTAAATATAGGTTATTACACACATATTTGTGTGAGCTGTGTCTTATGATTATCGGAGTATTGTGTTGTTAGCTTAGCAACATGCTAATGTCCAACTATTGGAATCATTGAATCAATATAGTTGCGTCTTCTGTTCACTGTCTGTGAGGAAGAGTGTGAATAGGGAGTAGGCAGCTTTCAGTGTCATGTGTTCATATTCTCTGTGTGTTTTCCACAGACTCTCTCCTGGCTCAAAGACAGCGTTGCGATGGCCACTCAAATGTGCAGTTTGGTCGGACCGAACGGTTTTGACGCAGCCAAGAGACGCCAGGCTTCACTGGAGCAAGAGATCCTGTCCAACACAGCCAGGATAGAGCTGGTCAAGAAGGTGAGTGTGTGTGTCAGTGCTGATCAAAAATAATAGCTTTTACACCGATTATCGGTATCGGTATCTACTTTTTCATAGGGCTAGATTGACTATAGCACGAGGAGATGATGGAGCGCTCACAGAAAATGCTCAGTTGTCCTAGTAGTAAGAGCGTTTGTTTCCATCAGGAGGGTCACGGTCTGGTGAGGGCTCAGCATCCGGGCAGCGCCAAGATCCAGGAGTTTCTGAGTCAGCTGGAGGTCCTGTGGGACGAGCTGAAGAGAAGACATGAGAGGAACGGACTGGTCCTGAAGGTCTCAGAGGAACTCAACTACAGGGTACAAATATCTTTGAATGTTTGGAATGACATGCCTTCTGTTTTTGAATGAAAGTAGTATGCACTATGTTTTCTGAGCACAATATCCCATTTATTTTATATAAAACTTCTACATTTGCCGAAATGCACAGTATGCATCTAGAGCTAGTACTGTATCCCATAATGCAATGCCTGCAACAACATTGAGAATCCATTTGCAGTGTGATGAAGGAAATATGATCAATCATGTTTACTCGTCTTTTTTTTTGTCAAAAGTTACAATGTTCACAAAACTGAAATATAAAAGAGAAAACACTGTATAAATGTACAAGATGAATTAACTGCGCAACATAAGGTCATGTGACAAAAATATTGAAATATTGATTATTGCATTTTGCATACTGTTTCTAAAAATAGCATATTTTATATATTTTATATTCGGTTCTGCATAAAGAAAATTAAGCCTATTTTTTAATGACATCAATATTTTTAAAAACATTTAATCTTTCTCTATATATATTTGTGTATGTATTTATTTATTTATTTATTTATTTAAATGATATATTTAATTTATGCTGATAAACTTAAAAATTCTAAATAAAAATCAATTGCATTGATATTATTGTCACGGTTAATATTGTAATATTTACTTTATTACAGTTATGATAATGTAATGGGAATTACAAACTCAAGATGCATTTACAGTAATAGAAAAATTAGCTTAATTGTCTTGAAAATAATGTCACAATGCAAAAGTTGTTTACATTTAACACAAATAACATACAATGTCAGGCAAATATTTACATATGCAAAAGTGTACTGAAAAAGAAAAAGGGCAAAATTTTTATACAATAAATTTTTTTATAAAATAAAAAATAAAAAACACTAGGACATATTTGTATGATTTTAATCTTTTGGACTCATTATTTCATTTTTTAGTGCCATAAGATAATATATTCTACACACACAAACACAAATCTATTGTTTATAAAGAAAGTAACATGAAAGAATTAAAGTAAATAATAACATAATTAAATTAAAAACACTAGGACTATATCATTGGACTGTCAAAAGATAAGATATCTTACACAAAAAATGATTAAAACAGAAGTATTAAAGTATATATTTTATAAAATAACAAAATAAATCAAAATTATATTAAAAACACAAGGACATATTTGTATCCTTTGGACTCATTATTTCATCTGACTCTCAAAAGATATTCTACACCCACACACACACAAAATATTTAAAATGCAAAATAACTATTTTTGGCAAATGTATGCAGTATGTACGTATATCCCTACATTGTGGACTATAAAATCAGAGCAACCTGTGTGGAATATTGTATCCCACAAAGCAATACAGCAAATTTCTAATTATAAGATGTAAGTGTGCTCTGCCTCATGAGTTTATTTGTGCATTGCAATGAATATTTACAGGATTGTAATGTGAACTCATGCATTTTCTGTAAAGCTAATTTGAAATGATGTGTATTGTGAAAAGCGCTATACAAATAAATGTGAATTGTCGGTTGTCTGGTTGTGTTGGTCAGGTGGTGCGGATGCTGCAGGCGTTGGCCAGTCTGGAGGCCTGGTTAGAGGCGGTGGAGCTGTCCATCACACAGGCGTCTCTGGCTGGAGACCCCGAGTCTGTGAGCGTGGCAGAGCAAGAGAGCTGTCAGCTGGAGCAGGAGCTGGAGGCCCGAGGACTGGAGCTGCACAACCTCAGGCATGAAGTCCATCATCTGAGCAAACAGAGACATCTTCACACTCAGCTGCTTCCAGCTCGACTGAAGGACGTGGAGAAGAAGTATGTGCCGTCAGTTCAGGACGCACTCATGTTGCTTACTCTGGTTCTGATAAGGATGTCCATTCTGTCCATTTTATCATGAAATTCAAACAATAAATGGCATTAAATGTGACGTGACAGATCGCTGTAGTGCCGGCAGCGCAAATCTTTTCTTTTACTTTCATACAAGTTATACATACAAAATTCCAATATCGTGCAAAAGTTCATTTATTTCAGTAATTCAACTTAAAAGGTGAAACTAATATATTATTAATACAAATAAAGGCTTGAAACTAATGTTGAAACTAATATATTATATAGACTCATTACATGCAAAGTGAGATATTTCAAGCCTTTATTTGTTATAATTGTGATATACTATACTAATATACTATATAATATATTAGTGAAACTAATATATTATATAGACTCATTACATGCAAAGTGAGATATTTCAAGCCTTTATTTGTTATAATTGTGATGATTACAGCTTATGAAAACCTTTTCACAATATTCTAATTTTGAATTTGGGGTTTTCATAAGCTGTAATCCATAATCATCAAAATTATAACAAATAAAGGCTTGAAATATCTCACTTTGCATGTAATGAGTCTATATAATATATTAGTTTCACCTTTTAAGTTGAATTACTGAAATAAATGAACTTTTGCACGATATTCTAATTTTTCGAGTTTCACCTGTTTATGGAAAAACACGCATGAATATCAGTATTTCTTTCAGGTTCAGCAGTGTGCAAATGGCACTGACCCAGCAGAGCTCCGAGCTGAAGGACACGCGGATGCTCACCGAGTTCCTGGAGAAGGTGGAGCTTGAGGAAAGTCACTACAGCACCGTGGGACAGGTTCGAGTTTTTCCCAGTTCACTTACACTTGTGCAATTGGCAGATGCTTTTATCCAAAGCGACTTATATTGAAAGGTGTACATGTGATCAGTTCATGCATATCCTGGGAATCGAACCCATGACCTTGCCGTTGAATATAAATGTTGTAAAAATATATCGGCCACCATATCGGTATCGATAAATCAATAAATGTTCATTTTTAATGTTATTGTTATCGGCCAAATAAAAAAATAATTTGGCCGATATTTTAAAGCCGATAAATAATGGATTATTTCCTTCAGCTGAGACACTTCAGATGTTCGCCATGATGGATTTGAATTGCTTGAAATATGATTGGAATGGCTTAACAAAAAGGAAAATACAGTTACGTGCAACATGTGCAGCGCAAGTCTGTCATATAGGCTACGTAAAATTATGAGTTATACTACGTATAATTATCATTATAATTGTAATTAGGCTCTCAAAAATCATATAAAAACTTGGATTTAGATCAATCAGCCAATATATCGGTTATCGACTTTCAAATATAAAGAATTATCGGTTATCGGTAACGTCCAAAATGTTCCTATCGGTGCATAACTAGTTTATTATTATTATTATAATTTAGAATAATATTATAAATATAAGTATATGATTAGAATGGCATGGTCGACCAATCAGAATCGAGAATTCCAGAGAGCTGCATAATAACGTGAGACTCGTGTTAGTCTATTCTTTTGGTTTGATTTCCTAGATTTTCCTAGTCTTATTCTTTGTTTTCCTGTTCTCCTGCAGCCCCTGTGCAGTGAACTGGACTCTGGACCGTCTCTTCTGGGTTTACAGGGGAACGAACATGATGAGCCCCTGATGGAAGCCATCGGAAACCCTGTAAAGGAACTCAGAGAAGCTGTGGAGATGCTCAATGATACAGCGCGAGAGCGGGGCCGTTCGCAGTCACATGACCAGAGCATCCAGGAACTGCTCACCAGGGTGTGTAGAATCGGAAATCAATTATATCAGATCGACTTTTTAATGTTTGTGTTATGGCAGACCGGGCAAGGAAGCATTTTGCATAAGCATAAGCGTTTGTTCTTCCCGGTACTATTCATCTCCTCCTCGTTTCCCAGCATGCCATGGTGTGTGTGCGCGTGGAGCAGTGTGTGCAGCGCTGTGCTGAACTGGCCATAGATGTGCTAGAGATGGAGAGTGAGATGGCTGTGAGGTGTGAGCCGGATCGATGTGGTCTGGATGTCCTGCAGGAGTACCAGGACCAGCTGGAGGTACGGCGACTCTGAACAGTAATGCAGGACTTACATTTACATTACATTTAGTCATTTAGCAGACGCTTTTATCCAAAGCGACTTACAACTGAGGACTAAACCAAGCGAGTCATCGTGAAGAGGCAAAAGCAACGCAAGAAGTGCTCAAAATACAAAGTTCAGACATAGCTCGGAGTAGCATAAGCCAGGCAAGCGAGGATTTAGAGGAAAGGATTTTTTTTTTTTTATGTTAAGTGCTCCCGGAAGAGATGAGTTTTCAGTTGTCTTTTGAATGTTGTCAGGGATTCTGCATTCCGGATGAGGGTGGGGAGATCATTCCACCAGCATGGAACCGTGAATGAGAATGTTCTGGAGAGTGATTTAGTGCCCCGCTGTAATGGTACCACGAGCCGTCGCTCATAGACCGATCGTAGGCTTCTGGTAGGGATGTAAACTTGTAGTAGTGAGTGGAAGTAGGAGGGAGCTGAACCTGTGGTCAATCTGTAAGCAAGCGTCAAAGCCTTGAACTTGATGCGAGCAGCGAGTGGTAGCCAGTGCAGAGAGATGAACAGAGGAGTGACGTGGGCCCTTTTGGGCTCGTTGAAGACAAGACGAGCTGCAGCATTCTGGATCATTTGTAGAGGTTTAGTTGCACATGATGGAAGTCCAGCCAGAAGAGCATTGCAGTAATCAAGCCTAGAAATGACCAGGGCCTGGACGAGAAGTTGTGTTGCATGCTCAGACTTGACTTCTGCATGACTTCCAGAGAAACATGTTGCAAAGCAAAAGAGTTTAGGGTGAATCTCACAAAACCTGTGGAGAACATGCCTTATGACAGATAAGCACAATTTTGCCTCGTATTCTTTTTTCCTGTAATGCAAAAAAAAAAAATGTAAAAAAAAATCTGCCACTAATTTATCATTTTTACTTAATGCAAAATAATACTGCACAGTTTAATTTTAAATTTAATTTAATTTTTTATTTAAAGTCCCCCTCGAGTCAATCATTTTATCCCTTAAAACTCACCTTTGATCACCAAAATGACATTTGATGATATTTATGCGTTTTTTCCTTAACAAAATTCTTAATTCTACACCTTTGCCTCATTTAGTATGCGTGGTTCTATGAATATGCAAATGAGCCCCGCCTCCACTCACTCACTCAGCTCAGAGATCCACTGGTTGACGATCACACGTTGATCTGATTGGTTACAAGGTCGTTTGTGACGTCAGAAACACCAGCGATTTCAAACCGTGTTTTTGAGACTGTCTTTGGTTCACTGCAGTTTTAAGCAGAAAATACTCAGCAATGCTGTCGACTTATGAACTTACACATGGTGTGTCTTAAAGCATATTAAAAACACCACATGGACATTAAAAGCTTGATTTTCACCACAGGGGGGACGTTAAATAAAAATACTTTTATACGGCAATTATTTTTACTCAATTGTCATGAAAATAATCGCAATTATCTTTTAGATTTATTATTTCTATTATTATTATCACAATGGAATTGAGTTGAAATGTTATTATGTGAGACAAAAGAGACTATGGGGTGATATGAGACATGAAACTTGCATAGAGTTAATAACACAGTTTAGTATCATCATACACAAATATAAATTATATTATTATAAAAATATTATTACATCACAATGAAAAAAATGGTCTTAAAAATAGAGCTGTTTTATTCATGCCTATTTTTGTGGTGAAATGTGACCTGAATATGTCACCTTTTTGTGGGGCTGTTTATTTTTCAACAAAAGTCATTCCAGACAGCAACCAAGTGTTTTTGCAAAACCATAACACATCCAAAGCACTTACTAGAGAACAGGAAGCATCTTGTTTGCCGGGACTCTGTGTTGATCTGATGGAAATGGCTTTCTCCCTTTTGTTTTAGCACATTGTTTCTAGAATCTGTTTCCTGTTGTGGTTGAAGTTTGACATGCACTCAGGCTCAGCCAGACCCTTGTTTCTTTCAATAGATGTCACACACATGACTTCATTATCCACACAGGACTCCATTGTGGGAGAGTTTTTTGGCATTTATGATGTCTATTTGTATGTGTCAGTGGATTCATTTGTGACTTCAGCATTGTGCATTGTGGGGTGCTTTTCAATGCAACCTCAATAGTGTGCATAGCACAAACACACACACACATCTGTCTGGAAGCCCCAAAGCGCAAGAAATGACCTAATGGCTCATACTAAAATAGTTTGACGCTCATGCATAAGGCATCTGACAATCTCTGTTTTGCAGGCACAGATCTGAAACACTTGATTCTTATTAAGCCTTTAACACTTTTAATTACATTCAGAAACACTGTCAGGGATGCCAGCATTGCATATGTTACGCATATGGTTCCTTTTAGGGTTTATACTGGCAAAATAACACAGGTTGAATAGCATTCTGAACTCACACACGGGTGTCTTTTCTGTCTCCAGGCTGAATACGGGGTCTTAAAGGAGGAGGTCGAGGCCATGAAGAGTCTGGCGAGCCGTTTGTCAGATGTTTGTCCAGAAAGGATGAACGCTGTCGGATCTGAGATTCAGAGCAGTCTGCATTCCTGGGAAGAGCTCGGGAAGAGTGTGTCTGAAAACAAGGAGAGACTCCTGCAGTTTGGGCACCTGCGCCATTTCTTCAGGAACTACCTGGCTATGATGTAAGGAAACAGTGAAACTATTAAACAAGGCCTTCTTTTATCTCACATTCTGTTAAAACTAAAGATTTACCTCACAGGAACATGTCCAGGTTATAATTCACCCCAGAATCACCATCCATCAAGACCATCAAGCTGTCTGTGTAAATGCATCTAAATGCCACTTCAGATGCAACTTCTGAAAAATAAAATGGCCACATTGTAGTCTTAAGTTTATATGTAATAAATTCTACAGTATGTTGAATCCAAATATTTCTTTATAAAGCTACTTTTTGTAATGTATATTCAATGCTTTTCTCATCTAACACAATAATGACTTTAAATGATCTTTGGCCTGTAGTTTCTCAGCCAAAATTAAGGAGCGATTCAATGGTGCATCATGTAATTAATTAGATTTAAAAATGGCTTGACAGCCCTAGTATTTAATATGTATGCATAATTTTAGTATTTTTAAAAACAAAATCCTAAAAATAAATGCAACACATAATTTTTGATTTCTTTGTTTTGATTTTGGGGTGAAATGTGACCTGGACATGTTTTTGTGTGATTCACCAGGAATGTTCTCTAAGATTATTTGCAGAGTTTGTTTTATTAAAATGTTTCATTTATTAATGGGAAATGCCTGTTCACATTGTGTTCTCTTCATGCATTGGAGAGAGGTCTGGTAAGCATCATCTTGAGCTGTGTGTATTGGCCTGAAGCTCTTGTGTTCATCCCTCTGCTGTTCATCTTCTCTCCCACAGCTCTTGGACAGAAGACACCCGCTCCTGCATTTTCTCAGAAAGTGCTCTGCGTCAGAGCCGAGAGAACCAGGAGCCTCTAGTCGAGGTTCTGGATCGGCAGATAGAACAGAAGTTTGAGGAGTTTGATCAGCTCACCGTGGCTGGAGAAAAACTCTTTGGCGATGAGCATCACCTTAACAAAATGGTAGAGTATGTTTTGTATAAATAAAAGAGATATCACAAATAAAGAGGTTGTATTATACCGTTTTTAGGCTCTACTAGAATAGGATTTCATGCTTGAATGATAAAAAAACACATTATTTTCCTCATATTCTCCATTGTTGCGGCTCCTCTCTTCCCAGTCTGTCAGTAACGCTCTGTTTAGTTCCTGTCTCTATGAAGCCCCTCCTTCTGAAAGCACACTGTGCTCTGATTGGTCGGCTGGATCAGTGTGTTGTGATTGGTCAAGTGCTTCGATTGTGTTTGGGAAATGTCCCGCCCCTTACCATAACCGCCAGTTTAACACACTACTAACTAACTCAACCAGGCCCCGCCCCTTTATTCGGCGTATGAATTATTTAAATGAGGAATATTGTGACGTGTTCATTCCCTGGTGAAACTCAAGACTACAATGGAGGCGTTTCAGGGAGTTCAGAAACACTGACACTGATATAGAGAAGAACTCCCGCTGGAGGAAACCTTTTTCATGCTCAAACAGCAACATCACACACTAAAGAAAGATGAACATGTAAAAAAAAAAGCATAAATCCTCTTTAATATCGATTTCAGTTGCTTTGCCCAATTTATAGCTCTACTTTTACTGTTTGACAACTAATTTACCGTATGTCTCCTATGAGAGTACAACCAATAAAAGCTTCCTCTAGGATGACAGAAACAATGACAGAACGTTTTTTTTCCTTTGCTCTTTGTCTTGTGATCAGATTAGAGAGAGGATGGAGGAGCTGAGGAGCATGCTGGGATGGATCCTGGTCCACTGGAGGGCTCAGAAGGATCAGCTGTTGAGCAGACAGAAGGTTGAAGAACCTCAGACAGATGCCATTTACTCTGAAGCCACGGTCTGCTCCTCGCAAACACAGGTAGATCCCATTCATTGATGGTGCTTCATTATCATAAAAATCAACTTAAAGGGCACATAACACACACAGTTTCTGCCAATCCCATGTTAATCTTGAGTACATAGAGTAGTACTGCATCCTTCATATCTCTGAAGAGTCTTTAGTTTGATCAGATTTATAAAAGACAGATATGCTGTACCGATTCTTTCCGAAACAGCCGAGGTCCTGGAGGCGAGGCGTGGGCGGAGCTAAAGAGTCACGCACAATACATCATCGCATTATCCCTAGATAACGTTTGATTCTCTATACGTTCGTGTTGTTTACAGTATATGCACTGACACGCTGATTGCCAACCAAACACAGACATTTGATGTTAATTACCGCCTGCAATTCCGACTCATGACTGGGATATTTTAGCACTGGGACCGCTCCATCTTTCAGTTTCAAACGATCTGCAAACTGGGCTTGTTTATAAAACAGTTGTCACCGAAATGCCGGGAACAAAAATTACACTTTGGAGTTTTGGTTTATTGCCACTTTTAGGCCTTTTTTTCCGCCTTTGTCGCCATTGGCTTTTGGCTTGCTTAGTATTGACAGCATTATATGAGAACTGAACTGAGTTGGACGATGACATCACGGTTTTCTCCAGAGCGGCTATATATATATATATATAAATGAACTAAATTAATAACTTTTTTACAACAAAAATGAACCATCACTGAGCTTACTTAAGCTGGACTGTGACGCAATTTTCTTCTAGAAAAAAAACTTTGTTGCATTATTCTCCTGTTATCTCTGTAAAGCTGCTTTGAAAACAATCTGTATTGTAAAAAGCGCTATATAAATAAAGGTGAACTACTCTGTCATACGTCCAACTCATTTTTTTAAAACTTTGGCCATGTTTGGCATGAGAATCCAATGAAATAGCATTAGACATTCCCTTTACTGGTCCCAAAATTAGCTTTGTTTTATTATTTATTTATTTATTTTGTTTGTGAAATGTGATCTGGCAAATCCTTGACAGTCAGTTTTCATTAGATCGACCCCAAAATGCAGTCTCCTCATTAAGCATGCGAATTCTGCCTTCTTTCAGGTGGAAACCTCAACCGAAGTCTCTCAGAACAGAATAGAAAGCCTCACAAGTCTCATTGGTGACATGGAGGATAGTTTGCAGCACAATTATGGATATGAGGTGATGAAGAGTGTCAGTCCTAAAGGAAGCGATGACAGCAGTCATTTAGAGAGTCCGGATTCACCGTACCTGGTTCTGGAGGAACCCAGTCCCACTGCTGTAGGAGGAACCGTCAACCTCATCCTCAGCTTCAGTAACTCTGGAGACACACAGATCCAGGTACAGGCACCTGGCAGGGAAAGTGGCGTGCCTGAGCCCGTGCACAGGGTGAGAATAATGCAAACATCACAAACATACAATCACCCTACTGTCGATGACGCAATGCTCTAGTTTGTGTTCTCTATTCCTTGCACACTGAGTCCGAAACTTTCCACATTGGGTCTCATTCATGAAACATTCGTAAATATACGAGTAAATATGAGAGTGATTTGCGCGTAAAGAGACCTTCCCGAAAACTCATCTCCTGATTCACAAATACTTCGTAAACGTCAGATGTGATAGTGAAATGTGTGTGTGTGTTAATGAATTCCAATCAGTCGTAAATGGGATGCGCGTGCACGTTCATTCTCAATTACCATAAATCCCGCCCATTAAATCCGACTGACAACTATATATGGGCATCATATTATGACATGAATGCGAATAAAAAAAAAAATTCTCAGATGCAGAAATTTAAGTTTTATTATCAGAAGTTCATTCAAAACGCCACATTTTATTTTCAAGCGTACATAGTGGCGTATCGGGTCCTAAAAAAAAAGGAAGCTTGGCAGCATATTACAGATGCAGTTAATGGAGTTTCATCTGTTAATCGAACATTCCCAGAAGTGAGAAGAAAATGGTTCGACATTAAGCTTGAGAGCAAAAAAAAAAATAGTTCACTTCGGAAAAATAGTATTCAAACTGGAGACGGACCACCATCGCAGATGCTATTACTGGCTCTCATAATAAGAAAAAACTTATGTAATTACTATATGTAATATTTTTTCAAAATGCTGTGTAAATATGTACCCGATTAAGGTGAATTAAAATGCAGCCTTAGTTATTAATGAGCAAAACGTTTGGGTGTTAAGCGCACTATTTACGCGTGGCTGGGAGCAGGTGTAGATTTCTTGTGTACCAACTAACATTTGGAAAATACGAACATTTTAATGAATCCGAAGATTTACGCCAGAACCACTTTACACACGATTCACACAAAAATTCGTTCTGCTCGTGTTTCATGAATGAGACCCATTGTGTCAATCACATTTACACACTGCCTCCGAAACTTTCGTCCGTCATACATTTTTTTTTTTTAAATCAGCATTTTTCGCATCCGTAGCAATCATTTTGAAAGGTGTTCAGTGGACTCAGTGTGCAAGGACCTTTACTCTCTTCTCTTTCCTCATCGACACCCTTCTCTGTTTGATTTTCTTGTACGTTCTCCTTCAGCCTGCTGAGTCTCACTCTTCTGCCTGTAAAAGCTTTTGGAAGCGCTGCCAGGGGCTTTTTGGTAGTTTAAAGCAAAAGAAAAAGATTTATCGACACAGTGCAGAAGAGGTAAATACGGTTGGTCGGTGGCCCTGCATGAGAAAACAAAAACATGGTGCTGTGTTTGTGTGCATGAGGACTGTCTTGTGATGGACTGACTAACACCATGATCTTCAGAAGAGAAATCATCTCATCATGTCGTTTAAAAAAGAAGCATTGCAGTACATCTCAAAATCGTAGTATAATAGTATGCTATTCTGAAAAAGAGCCACTGGCCTGATCATTTGTTTGTTTGGTGGGTGGAAACGCAACAAAGCCAAAGAGACTTTGATGGAAGACGAGTCGCTGTGGTTTAGGGGAGATTGCAAACTGGTATAGGCAGGTAATGAAAATATTGCTGAGGAAATTGCCACTTCCACTGCCAGTATAGGAAGCATTAGAAACCAAGGCAAGAAACTCTTCCAAGACACACATAAAGCCTCATTTCAAACATTCGGGTTGTTTACAAAACTGTCTTTGGGAAAGTTTTGAAAGTAATTGCAACAAAAATAAAAGTGTGTGTTTCTTGGAACGGTTACAGGGACTTCAAAATATAGTAGCATATAGTAGCCTTACATGGATTTGCAGTATCCTAATTTTATTATGGCATTAGGGTCTGTAAAGTGTAGCCTTCAGTCAGTAGTAGAAGTTATTTTGGAAATTGTGTTCATTGCTGTGTGTTTATAGCTCTCAGATTTTTTTTAAACAGGAGGTCATGAGGACCATCATGAGGATTAGGGCTTGTGTGAAGTTGTCTAGCTAAATTTGGTCATGGCATCATGGCAATGTAATTGAAACATGTATGCTGCATTAAGTCTCTTACAGTGTCACCCATAAGACATTTGTAAACTTAAAGTGCAGTTAGCGATTTCTGAGAAAAGGTGTTGAGAGTGGATCGGACCGATCACCAAAACACACTTGTAGCCAATCAGCAGTAAGGGGCGTGTCCACTCATTAGGGGGGAGGTGCTTGTGTAGCATAGGGTGCTTCTCAATACTCAAATTGATGCTTCCACGTTTCCTCGCTCCACCGTCCTCCAGCCCGTGACCTGGAAATCGATCGATCGAACTCAGCCATCAGCTAAGACATGAGAAAAGGAAACAAGGAAAGGGAGCGAGGATGCACAAATAAGAAATGAGAAGCACCCATAGTGTGTTCGTGAATTTGGGGGCGGGGCTATCAAGGTAGGGCTTGTTTGTTTTAGTGATTTCAAATATCAACAGCATTTCTCAGAAATCACTTACTGCACCTTTAAGACCAGACATGTACTCTAAAATGAGTGTTTCAAGTTTTTTTAACTTATACTATAACTTATACTGAAAAAGTTTAGTCTTTATTCTCTTTAAACTGTTGCTCCGTCATGACAAAAGAGTCTGAAACCAGCAGAGGCCATTAGATCTAAAGATATGCTGCAAATCGGTTGTTTTTTAATCAGATATGCATGTACGGAGAGAGACGGAGGAAGCAGATGATAAGAGAGGTGATAAGATGCATGAAGTGGAGTTTTTCACTCTTACGTAAGCTATCTTTAAGCCTGATGACAGCAGCGCTGTGCTGAGATGTGACCTCACCCTTCGCTTCCCATGATCGCTGAGTTTTGAAATGGCTCCCAGCAGGAGTGGGGGGTGCTGGAGAAATTTTGATGTGAACTTTCCCTCCTGACTGGCCTGTGTGATTTATGGTCTGGGGCTGCCAGAGAAGCACAAGATTAGTCACGGGGTGAAAGGTCAAGCCATTACAGCTGTGTATGACGACATGTTTAACAGCAGATGATTCTTATTAAAACCCAGAGTAAAAAAAACCTAAGTGTGCTTGTGTAGTCATGCTAGTGTTCTTTTGTGTGTGTTCATGTTGTTCTCATGTCTGCTTCTGTGAGCCAGACACTCACAGAAATGCTGTGTATTCAGATACTAAAACACTTATTTACACAAATGATTATACAAATGATCATTTTTGTGCAGCAGTGTTTGAATTATGAATTGCACTGGCCATAAAAAGTTTTTGGATACTTAAGCCACACTAAAATATGAATGTCATTGCATAAGATGATAAAATATCAAGCCGAGTTATATTTATTATAAAGATAACACAAGCATGGTCCAAAATGAAGACACGTTCTGGTTGCGAAACATGAGTGAATGTTGATAGTTAATGTGATGAGCTGCACCTGTATAAACTCGACAATAACTGATTTCATACATGCATGAAAAAGGACCTAGTGACCAGCAACAAATCTTTGCATATGCCACTTCATAACTTTTATGTAATGCAACGACATTCATGCATTTTTTTTATGTGACCTAACTATCCAAATTATTTTTGGACCATTGCACATCAGATAATTAGCATGATGGATCTTTAAATGGTGTACTTTGTATTGAAGCGTGACACTTATGCATGCTAAACACTTCATGCATGGGAGAAAAAAGTGATAAAATAACACTCTAAAGCAATCTTTTCCTTTCGTTTTAGGTAAGTACTTACTTGCATGTTATGGAAAACAACATGGCAGTAGCCCCAGTGTATGAGAGTATGACCCTACCCCAAGACAAAGCCCGGTGGCCCTCATCCTCCTCTCCCAGGACCTCCCTGTACGCTTTCTCCTCCCCTTGCACTTCTCCATACCCCTCGACCTCCACAGAAGACACCCTTCAACAGGCCAACAACAACCCCTCTGTTCACCTCTTGCCCAAGAACGGCAACATCTCAATCTTCAGCAGTCTGAAGAGGAAGAGCAAGAAGGGGAAGAAGGAGAAAGATGACTGTAGACACACCATTCAGAAGATCATGGGAGAAGGAGTGTCAGAAGAGGCTTGTTTGCCACCTGTACATGAACCAGTCATATATGATACGCACACTTGGCCCCTGAAGGAAAGGAAGAAGCGGAAAAATGCAAGAAAACCAAACAGCGATGAGACTCAGGTCTTGGACTACATGAAGAACCCTTTAATGAAAGACATAGATGCAGAATGTTCTGGAGAGGTTGAATCTCCAGTTCATCACACCTTAGAGGTTGCCACCCACGGACATGTGAAGAACCATTGTAGGTTTTTGTCCTTGGGCTCGGTGTTAAGCTTCGACCTGCCCAAGGATATGAGCCTTATCCCTAGCATTCAAGATGTCATTACAATTGGCCCTCCCGAGCAAAAGAAGACAGACTCTCTACACCAGGACTCTCAGGTTGATCGTCCAACACCCCTGAGCACCTTTAAATCCGCCCGCTCACCTCCAACGCAAAAAGAAAAGTCCAAAAAAACTTCTCCAGGTGAAGTAATCCTTAAGATTGATTGTAAAGACTCCAAAAAGATTGACACTATTTCAATAACTGAAGATGAATTTCCTCCTCCACCTTCTCCAGTCATTGAACACATCTCATTTGAGGAGAATCATCCCTCATTACTCCAACAGAAACACCTGTCTGAGATAAGTACAATGCCCAAAGAAGAGGTGGATAGTTGGGACACAATGGGAACTAAACTTGACAACAAAGAAAACCACTATGTAAGTCCTCCAGAAGATGCAAGCCAAGGGATTTCCAGTCACAGCTCAACTACAGCAGAGATTCATGTATGTCCTAGCATCCATACCTTGGTTCACAATCTTAATGGACACATCTTCAATAGGTCAACAAAGACCTCAAGCACTCAACAGTTGAGTCCAAACCATGCATCTCAGGTGGTGTTGAACTTCAGAGCCAATGGAAGAGAGGACTCAGTGGACTCTGGTCACTCCAGCTCTGGAAGTTTCAAGTTGTGTTCAGAGGGTTTGTACGTAGACTCCTCAGAGTGTCCAGTTCCCAAGAGGACCATTGGGAAGGTGCAATCCCTGGATGCAGGAGTCTCCAACAGGAACTTAGAGTTCTCCAAAGACAAAAGCCTTACTTTATCAATTGACGTTGAGGATCCAGTTCATCCTGACCACCAACAGTTTGAGCTGGAAGAAGAGGAGCTGGAGGACATCTGGAATCACACCAACAGCTACCGACAGAGTCTAAACTCTGATATCATGTATAACGGCTACCAGGCTTTGACAGCAACCTCTTCTCCAGACCAGCATAGGGAACCCTCATCCAAAGAACACGCAGGACTCTTCAGAAAGTTGGTCACAGCCTCCGCACCCAATCTTCTTGTGGCGGAGTTTCGACTACCACCATCTATCCAGTCTATGGTGGGTTGTGGGAAGCCGCAGAACTCAGTGGAAGAGTGGCAAATTCTGGATAAAGGGGACAGGAGGTCATGGGCCGCATTCACTCAACGGGAACAGGTTTACAAACAGGTGGCCATTAATGAAACCGCTTCAGATCCGGTGAAACTACCCGAAATAGAGGACCAGCAAAAGTATATCTACCATTATAGGGAGGAGGAAGAGGAGGAGGAGGAGAAGGAAACAGGGTTTATGAAGGTGAGGTCTACAAGTTGGCAATTAATCCTGTCAAACCCTGTCGTTTAGGAAGTTAGAGGTGTCCAATCCTGCTTCTGGAGGGCCGATGTCCTGCAGAGGTTAGCTCCAACCCCAATTTAACACATCTGAACCAAGGAAATCAAGGTTTACTAGAAACATCAGGGTAGGTGTTTGGTCAAATTAGAGCTAAACTCTGCTGGATGTTGGCCCTCCAGAATTGGACACCCTTGGTTTAAGTAGTTGAGCTGTTGACTTGTGCTGCCTTCACAACATGTCAGAATGATTTTTATGAGATGAGCACCCATGAGCGCCACCACAGTATTGTAATCAGCAGCGGGAGGCTTAGGAATTTCTTTAAGGCCAGAAAATACTACTTAATTTGGCTGGTTTTTGAGGTGACAGGTTACATTTCCCATCATTCAATGTAATAAATAACATATAATAAAATGCTGTTCATTTTGTTGCTTTTGCACTAAAAGGCTAAAGTAGGATCTTCCCAGGAGGATTGAGTTTTTTTGTGTTTTTTTGGGAAATCTTTGACTTCAAATGAAGTTGTGGTCAACACATTTCATATCATTATCCCCATTGTTGTTGTAGTTATTATTAGTGCCGTTTAATCTGTTTTTGTCACGGTACTTAATGCATTGAAATGTGTCTCCTCTCTCCACAGGACCAGTCCACGAGCCTCCTGTCTGTTCATATGAGATTGGATTGCACCAATGACTCTGATATCCAGGTACACAGAAGTTAAATTGCAGACCATACCAGAAGTTTATATGATATTTACTTACAAGTCTGCTTTAAAGTTCTTTGGAATATTGAGAAATAAAAGACATTACTGTATGTATTCATTGTGAAATAATGGTTGTTAATTGTAAACTTTGACCAATCTTTTTCAGAGTGGAAGACAAGAACTAGAACTGCCGTCTATGGAAGGTACACTGGAGAGGAAACACAAACTACAGCTTGGTGGAAAGAAGGTAAACACAGACCAAGACAAGTGAGCATTTTGTGTCACAGGTCTCATGCTTTTACCTGATGTTTAGGTTATTTTGGTGCATTTTTGGTTGGTCTTTATGTAACCAATAAGCTTAATGTGCTATTTCAGGCACCATGCAGGGCGTGGAACTCCTATCATGCTGTGCTGTACAAACAAACAATATGTTTCTATCAGGACAGGAAAGATGCACTCAAGGTAAGCTTGAAGACTTCATGATCTGGCTTTGCAAAACTTTTTGTTCCTTTATTGCAAACAAATATCATTAGTTATAATTAGGGATGCACCATATATCTGCCACCATATCGGTATCGGCCGATATATGTTAATTTTTAATGTAATTGTTATCGGCCCAATAAGAAAATTACGCCGATATATTAAAGCTGATAAATAATGTATTATTTCCTTCAGCTGAGACACTTCAGATGCGCGCTTGTGCCCATGATGGTTTTGAATCACTTCAAAAAGGAAAATAATATAGTTAAGTGCAACATGTGCTGTCATATAATCTACATAAAGCTATATAAAAATTTGGATTTAGATTTATCTGCCAATATATCGGTTATCGGCTTTCAAATATAAAGAGATATCGGTATCAGCCAAAATTTTCATATCGTTGCATCCCTAGTTAAATCGCAAGGTTAAATTGTGATTTGAATTACATTCAATGGCAGCTGTAAAGCAGCTAAAGATATGAGTTAACCAAAACGAGTCTATATTTGTACCCTATAGAGCTGTGTGACGAGCCTTCCTCTCAACCTAATTGGAGCAGTGTGTGAACCGTCGCCGGAGTACACCAAAAAACCCAACTGCTTTTGCTTGAGGTAAATGATGAACAACTAAAGAGTTGTTTTAGTTACAGATGGGAAGTAGTTTGAATCGCTTCACTTGTTTTACCATTTTCTCTCAGATTGCGCGATGGATCTGAGTATCTCCTCAGTGCCTCCTCACGATTTATGATGAAGAAATGGATCCTTAGAATCCAGGCACACACTGGTATTATACCATTTACTCTCTGTCTGTCTTTAATAGTCTGTTTTTACAGTCATATTCAAATGAGATCCTCTCTCTCTCCACAGCGTCCAGTGATTCTGTAGTGAATAGTTCGAAGTGTCGTGGGTCTTCAGCTTCAGCGACGCTCTCTAGACATTCTCCTCCTATCTCAGACTGTCAGTATGGAGATAAATGTCGCTGCTCCGTGAGAAATTATGTCACCACCACGGTTTTAGCACAGAGTCAGCCTGCCTCAAGCCGAACCAAAGAGATCATAGTGCACACCAGTGACGCTCTGCAGATCCAGCAAACACATCAGGATCTGTTGCTCCCCACATTCACAGATGCAGGTCATTCTGGTAAGAAACTGTGTGAAGACTGGAGTAATGGCTACTAAAAAAATCAGCTTCTATCTATCTATCTATCTATCTATCTATCTATCTATCTATCTATCTATCTATCTATCTATCTATCTATCTATCTATCTATCTATCTATATAGATCTGTCCATCCATCTAGATTTATCTATACATCGATCTGTCCGTCCATCTAGATCTATATATCGATCTGTCCAGCTATCTAATATATATATATATATATATATATATATATATATATATATATATGTGCCATTTAAGTTAACTTTTTATAGTGAAATTTAGTTGCTGTAGTTCATTACCATTATATTATTAATTACTCAAGTTTATAGTTGTATTTCATAAACCCTCATTGTTATTGTTCCAGAAAAATGGCTGAGTGTATTATAAAATCTATCATTTATAATAAATGTGTATACATTTTGTTATTAAATCAATAAGTAGCTTCAAAGTAGTTAGTTAAAAAATATATATTTTCTTAATCAGTATTTTGCCTTGTTGTCGAGTTAATTTTTAAAATAAATATCTCATTTTTCTTAAGTATGCTAGTATAATGTATTTAAAAGCATGCATGAGATAAATTTAGCTTTTAGTTTGACAGTCGCTTCCTCAACACTGGCCGCTAATGCAAGTAATAAATAAATAATATGTAAGACAAATGTTTTTGACATCCAAAAGAGGGCAGTAGAGGACTCTGTGTTGAACATGAGCCGAGCTTCACACAGACATTATGAGGCATGGTCACATCTGTTTGCTGTCAGCGGATTTCTATTTCTGGAGAAGCACTTCTATTCAGCGCTCTGGATTTTGTCATTTCCACCTTGGTCACATTATTTCTCACCTCCAGTACTTTGTTACTCAATTACACTGTCTGCCCTTGTCCTGTAGAGGTTGAATGATTCATGTTCTGTTTTCTCTCTCTGTAGAGGATGAGTTTGAGTCTCATGGCGAGTCTCTGAGACAGAAGTTGTCCTCTATGTCCACCATTCAGGGCTGGACCAGTGAAAAGAGACGCTCACACTCCTTTACCTCAGGTACAGCCACTGCACTCACGACATTTGCCATGTAAACAAGTCATTCTTATGAAACGGTGCTATATAATGCTGTTCAGTTGTGTTCAAAAGTGATATCCGGCCTAGGACATCTTCACCCTTTATTCAAATATTACCAAAAATGTGTTAAATAAGCATTGTGCTGACATCATTTTTGACCAGGCTGTCATAGAAATGATTAACACATGCAAAAACAAGAGAGAACCAACAAAATATTAATAACTAATTATGTTGTAGACAATGCAAGCTTTCTGTTTATCTATGCTTTTTTTTTTTTGCATAGTAAAATAAAGCCTGTAGCTGTAATTTGCCTTTTTTTGTCAAATAATTCTGTCAGATGAATACCTTAATCAAGTATAGTCTTTTGTTATTCCCTCATATTTAAAATATAAAATATTTCCCTTGTATTTTGATGGTTTAATCGAACTTGTAGGGTCATTAAAAACAAATATCCCCTGCGGACGTCACTTTTTGCCACTACTGTATATTCGCATTAATGCATATGACAGATGCTTTTATCCAAACGACATGCATTGCATTCAAGGTATACATTTAATCAGTTCATGCATTCCTAGGAACAGAAACCACGAGCTACTCTTGGCTACAGGAAAGCTATACAGTGACTACAACATAATCAGTTATTAATGTTTATTTTGTTGGCTCTCTCTTGTTTTTGCATTTGTTCATAATTTCTTTGTATGACAGCCTGAGCAAAAATGATGTCCCACAAAATTTGGCATGTTTCACTGCGTTATCACCACAAATAAAATAACAGACTTTTTACTCATATTTGAATAAAGCGTGAAGATGTCAATTTATCTAGGCTTGACATCATGCATTGTAGTCTATATATATATGAACTTTAAACACTGATATCTCTGTCCACAGCCACGTATCAGAGGATAAGGCCTGTAGCGCCCCCTTCAGGCAAAGGCCAGGACAGCAGCTCCAGCTACTCGGTGACTTTATTCATCGGAGACCGAGAGATGCCGTCGGTCTGTAGAAGCACAGCGATGGCCGAGGAGTCCTTCTCCGATCTGCCCATGAGGAGCTACATGAGCCTCCCGCGGCCACCCAACAAATCCGTCTTCAGGAAGTTCTTTGGGAAAAAGGAGTGACTGACACTTTCTGTGACAAAGACCCTGACTGACATGTGCAGGACACAAGTTAAACGCTTCTGAAAAACTTTTTTCTTACAATTTATTTATGGATTTGATGGCGAGAATCATTTTTTTGTCATTTTTAAATGAGATCTTGTATGGTTGTTTAATATTCATTCCTTCAACCGTTTTGATATCGGGCTTGTTTTAGCCAACAATGAAATGTACTCACCCTCACGTTGTTCAAAACCAATATGACCCTTTCTTTCATGGAACATTATATTTACATTTATGCATTTAGCAGATGGTTTTATCCAAAGAGGAACAAAAGCAATTTGTCACAGAGCCAATGATATTCATAATATACAATGCCAGGTTTATTAGATTCAAACAAGCAAGAGGAGAAAATGCAGAGAAGACAACCCTGGAATAACAGTTCATAATTTCTGATGACAAAAAGCACCACATAAGTATGATGACAGTAATGCATATGACTTGTCCACTATATTTCAATTGCTCTCAAGTCATAAAACAGCTTTGTGTTTTTTTTGGTCATTTTTGGAGCTTGACTGAAAAGGGGTGTCCAGTCCTTCTGGAGGGCGACGATCCTGCAGAATTTAGCTTCAACTGTGTGGATATTTTTAGTAATCCCAAACGCTTCATTACCTGGTTCAGGTGTGTTTAATTAAGCTTGGAGCAAAACTCTGCAGGAAAGCGGCCCTCTGGAAGAAGGACTGGATGAAGAGAGTGAGATATTTGAGTTTGCAACATTCAAAGGGTGAGTCTTTCATTTATGGATGAATTATTTTTTCTCATGCTAAAAGTTCCTTTTTTGCCATTGTTGTTTTAAATGTGCATTAATGAGTGAAGTTTGCTGTGGACATGGTGACAGCTGCCATAATGAATCTACTGATACGAGACTTGTGATTTGTAATGTGTTCAGTGTTTCCACCATATTCCAGTTGAGGTGGTCTGATGTGTTTTCAGTTCATGTATGTTCTTTTGGCCTGGATCGCAATAATCTGTCCAGTCATTGTTTATTTTTTATTAGGTTTTGGCACATGTTATTTGTCATCTTGTCATGTTTTTCTGTGTTGGTTTGAGTTCTGTGTGGTCTTGCAGGGTTAGTTCACCCAAAAATGAAAATTCTGTCATTCATTTATTCATTTTTTGGCAAACTATCCCTTTAACACGTGTGTTTCCAAACTAAACATTTGATTCACATATTCTAGTGTTGCTTTCGGTATTTAAACTTATGCATTGTGTCGTGCGTTTTAGGAGGAGGTTTTTATGGGAAGAAGTATTCTTACAGTCTGGCTCAACTGTATCATATGATCCTTATTGTTTTGATATTGGTGGCCTGGGTGTTTATGACCAATTGTACACACATTTAAACATGTAATGCATTATTTTAGACTTTTCACAGTGGAAAACATTTTAGGACTATGCTGATATGTTCAGTTTGTAAAAAAAGAAAAAAGTAGCTCAATTGTGCCTTAAAAAGAAAATAAGGTCATTGCAGCAGTTTAAATGAGTTTTGCATTATGGCATTTTGTGGTTAAAGATGTGGCAAAACAGAAACCGCACTGGTGATCATTTTATTGAGTGATATACATACATAAACCACCATAAACCATGCAATTATGAGTGTCTAAAAATAATGAATTAGAAAAAAATTAAATAAAAGTAAAGTAAATATTGTTGAAGTATAGCTCAGTTTTGTCTCTTTAGTTTGGCATCATATTGCTTTTATATCCTATCTAATTTCAGAAATGTGTTTTATAGACAGACAGTCACCGAGCGGCGTAAACAAACAGCCTATTACAGTTCCTCCTGAACCAAAACAACCAGCTCACGCCGTCATAACCGTAATTACGAGATGGCAACCTGTGACGTTCTACCCGGAGCGTCATATCAACACTATCGACGGTGAAATGAATCTGCAGCAGTCAGGTGGTACAAGAGCTCTGCAAGTTGTTTACGTTCCTTATTATTGTAATTTCATGTGCTTTGTGACATGCGGTAATTTAACGCCGTCTCTCGTGACGATTTGCAGACTGGAATAACTGGAAGCCGATGACACCGGAAGCCAGACACATTAAATTTACAAATTCACTCTTACGTGAAAAATAAGGGGGATAGACTTTATTCAGAATAGCGCCATGACAGGTGTGAAGTGAAAGCGAGGCTGTGAGGGATAACCGTGTTTTCAATGGCATCCCCTGTAAAAAGTTGTTTAAAGCTTTTTTGAGTTTTTTGTGTACTGAAACTTCTTGGAAATATGTTTGCAGTGTTTCGTCAGCTGAACAATCCAAAAACACATTAAATAAAAGTACGGCCCACTTAAGAGATGTATGTCTATCCCTCACAGCCTCGCTTTCATTCTCGTTAAAAAATCAAAGATGGCACTGATGGGAATGAGGTCTTTTGCTAGCTGCTCCGAAATTGACCTTTAACTGGTTTTAAAGGGGTCCTATTATGCCCTTTTATGAAGTCTTGATTTTGTTTTTGGGGTGTACTAGGATATGTTTTCATGCTTGATTGTTAAAAAAACGCATTATTTTTCACATATTTTACATTATTACAGCTCCTCTCTCCCCAGTCTGACTCAAACATGTCGGTTTTCTAATGAAGCCCCTCCTTCCGAAATACGAAATGTGCTGTGATTGGTTAGCTGGCCCAGTGTGTTGTGATTGGCAGCGCTTAGGGCGTGTTCGGGAAATGTCCCGCCCCTCTATAACTGCCCATTCTTCTCTAGTGTAAATAATGATGGCGTCAATTTCAAACCAGTTCGAGCTCGATTCAGACCCTGACAATGTTAATGAACAAGAGGATTGCGCTGAACAGATTTCGGACTTTGCAGGCACGGATTTTACAGGATGTTTCAAATGGTATGTTTTGGGGAATTTTCTTATACATTATAGATATGATGTTATCCACCATTCAATTGTGATATTTGTTGGAAAACTAAGGTAATACAAACTGTAATCGATCACAAAACCATGGTTAATTTGGTGGACGGTCTTACAAAAGCGAGAGCTTAAAGAAACAGAAAACAAGCTGTTCTTCATAAAATGTGCAGCGCAGATAAACATTTGGGTTTTAATGTTCAGGGATAGTGTTGTTAAGTTTCTCAGCCTTAGGAAGGTCAAACAAACAAACGTTTTGCCAGCTCAACTATAGCCTGGCTCCGCCCTCCTACGCACTTCCGCTCAATTCCATTTTCCTTCAGTACTACGTCTGGGACTGCTGTATATTCTTAGGTTTCCAGGAATCAATTTTTTGTAGGACCAATCAGCGAATAGAGGGAGTGGCTGAGAACGATGACGTTGATGTAGCGCGTCAGTTTGAGTTTGAGTTCAGTAACGGCAGCGGAGAAAGACGTGAGAAAATCTATTCGGTCCGTTGTTGCAAAACTGCCAAATATACAGAAGTTAAAGCCGGAGCAAGATCAATGTTTGCTAATGCCGAGTTCGGACTGCACGATTTTCAAAATAATCGGGTCACTGTTGTTTTCACACTGCATGACTATCTGGGGTAACATTCAGTTGCTGCTGTGTTCACACTGCACGATGGATCGGCGACAGGAGGTTTCACACTGCATGACTTTACAAAAGAAAGAATCGCCGACAACTTCTGCCTGGTCCGCAAACTACGTTTCACAACCAAACAAACGCAAGAAGTGATAAGGAAATAACGGAAGATCACGCGTGCGTGAGACCGGAGTTCTCGCGCGACACTGAATTTGTTATTAAAAATGATAGCCTACAAATTGTCTGTGCTCTGATTTGTAGCAAAAAAAAAAAAAAGTTTATGCAGGAAATGGTTGGGAAGACGAGGGGAGCAAGGACTGTGTTTTGCAAAGAGAGTTCGGGGTAAATAAATAATTTTGCAAATGTCCTGCTGTTGCTGCTGGTCATGCAAATGTTTGTGCTTTGTTTCTGTTTGATATAATTGTAAATATAGGCCTATCTATTAAAATACTGATATTCTGGTCTATAACTCCTCCTCCTCCTCCCTGTATCTTGCTCTCTCATTGGCTGTCGGTCATCGCCGATGTAGTTTTCTGTCAGAACACATTCACACAGCAGGATTGTGAATCGCCGACAGGTCCAGATATTTAGCATGCCAAATATCTCACGGGCGTCGGCGACTCGTCGGCGATTCTCTCAGATCGCGTCTTTGCTCATTCACACTGCGTGATTGTCACTCGCGTGAACGAGCACCGATTTGCCTGTGATTTCGGGCATTTGTCGGCGATTTCTCAAAACCTATCGGCGAGCCACAATCGGGGCTAAAGTCGTGCAGTCTGAACTCGGCACAAGTGTTGTTGGTGGCCATGATGTTGTGGCCCTCCTCCCGACTGGGTTCGGGAAAAGTTTAATTTTCCAGCTCGCTAGTGGTGAATGAGTTAGCTAAGGCGAACGATAGAGATGCAAAGCCGATGTAGTTGTTTATATTTTTAGCTTCATTGCAAGTGTGTGACATTTGGTATAGAAATAAACAATGCATGTAAAGTGCTTTTCCTAAAAATGAGAAAGAAAATACAGGGTATTAATAAAACATTATTAACAACAAGAATGTGAGGCTGTGTTTTAGCCTTTATTAGGTAAGATGTGCTTCCATTTCAGTTTCCACAAATCCCTTCACTCGATTGGGATGTTCTCTTGTGTTCTGGGCGGCAAGTGCAGTAACTGTAACATCGGGCATATTTTGTAGTATTAAACACATATTTACACCGACTTCATCAGGCTCCAAAAATTCTTCACAAAGAACACAAAAAGCCTTCTCAGCTGCCATAGTTGCAACTCTTGCGTCATCACAACAGTGCGTTCAACGCATCACCGTTTCTGTTAAAAAAAACGTTCTGCAACGTTTTGTCGGCGCTGAACGCAGCCCAGGCTAGCTCAACTAGGCCTCGTCCCCTTTTTTTGCGTATGGGCGGGATTATTTAAATGAGTAGGCCTACCATTGTGACTTCATAAGATCACATTGTAGTCCAAACGACCTTGCAGATCTTTTTTATGTTTAAACAGCAACATTACACACGACACTAACTAAAGTTGAAACGGTGGAAACGCATAATAATAATAGGATCCATTTAAAGGCTTTATCACAATGAATATCTCCATACTAACTAACATTCAGACAGGAGAATAACCATCTATGGATAACAGTGGAGTATTTTTGGATGGCTTATCTGACTGACAATATTTGAAAGCATTTTTATACATTTGTAAAATCAGCTAAATGTGTTCTTATATAGGCAGAGAAAAGCGGACACCGCCTTCGTCTGGGATAAATCAATAGCAGCAGCTTCTCATAGTGAAGAAATGAGCTGTTTGTTTGTTTGATGCCTCATGCCTGTTTAACGATCCACCGGGCACACAATCACCTCCAATTCAACACACCCTCGTCCTTCCCTCTCTGGTGGGGATTTCAAAAGCGCTGATATGCCAAAGTACAAACAAACAGTAAGAAATCCTCCACAATAATCATTAAAACTGAGCGGAGGAGAAGATCTGAGCCTTCCGGCG